TCATTTCCAAGGGTTCCTTCCCATTTTTTGATTCTTCCTTTTTATAGCATCATATTCTTGTTTAATAGATGTAATATCATTTCATATCTCTTTAGTAATAAATAATTAGTTTTGTAGGGTTTTTATTTGACTCTTCTTGTATTCCCTGAATTATATCTGTTTCCTCCAGGGTCAGTTATTCTCTGTTTATCTTTCTTCATCATACTGTAGGCTTTTCTCAAATGTTTGGTGATTCTCAGTTGTCAGGCTATTCTTAAGAATGAGACAGGAGAAAGGCTGACTAGGAACTCTAAGCACATAAGTGGAACTTGCTGACTGACAGGCTTCAATTTAGGGTAGTCAGAGATCTGATCCTTGTGCTGAGGCCTCTCAAATACCAGAATGTAGTTGGCTTTGTGCTGGGGTACCAGTGACGACTCAAGATGCCCAAGTTTTCTCAGACAGATCTTTCAGTGTCTTTAGAAAAGTCCCCGCTGGTCATTTTTTGGTTGATTGGTTGGTTTTGTTTTTTTCTGTGGTCAAACGCTTAGTTGCAGGGGGTTCTTGACACCAGAGTTGAGGAGCAGTGTGGAGGAGGACCATTTCATATCCAGATTTTCACTGTCTTCCCTCTTCTCTTCACTCCAGTAACTTCTCTGAGTCCCTGGCCTCTGCAAGGTTCTACCACATAGGGAAGCTCCCTCGTTTTTCTGCAAGACCCTTCAATCATATCCCGCGCTATAGCTTCTTCTACTCAGTGTTCTTCCATGCACTTTGTTTCCCAGAAATTCATTGAAATCACTTATCGTCTTGTTCTGTAACTGTTTTTGGTATCGTACTGTTTTGGTATTTATATTCCTTTACTCTAATTATAATTGAGTCTTAGAAGGGAGAGGAAATAAATATGTGTTCAAGTCCCCATCATGATCCAGTAGCAAGGGTAAGTATTATTGTTCCCATTTTACATATGGAAAACAGAGGCTTATGTGATTAAGTGATTTGCCTAAGATCACGCAGCTAGAAAGGGAAGGGCCAGGATTAAACGTGTATTCTTTTGACTACACCAAACTACTTATTTTTGTCCAAACCATGACTCAGTTGGTATGATCTCGAAAAACAAGAACTTACATAATACTATGAGTTTTATTTTATTTTATTATTTTTTTTTGTGAGGAAGATCAGCCCTGAGCTAACATCCATGCTAATCCTCCTCTTTTTGCTGAGGAAGACCGGCTCTGAGCTAACATCTATTGCCAATCCTCCTCCTTTTCTTTTCCCCAAAACCCCAGTAGATAGTTGTATGTCATAGTTGCACATCCTTCTAGTTGCTGTGTGTGGGACGCGGCCTCAGCATGGCTGGAGAAGCGGTGCGTTGATGCGCGCCCGGGATCCAAACCCGGGCCGCCAGTAGCAGAACGCAAGCACTTAACCGCTAAGCCATGGGGCCGGCCCAATACTATGAGTTTTAAATATGCTGTCATTTGTGTATAAAAATGACTCAGAAACTGCCCAGACTAAAAACTGTGCAACATCATTCTACAAATTACATATCTAGAATAAAATGAGACATCATCAAAGTCATAAAATAGCAATTTTATATTTTGTGGGTCAGGTTGAAGTGGACTAGAATTTGAGGAGAGAAAATTGGTAGGAAAGGCTGGATTATCATTTGGGTAGTGGTGGCAAGGGCTTGGAACACTGGAGTGCTCTCAGCTCTATCAAATCTACTTTAGAAGTCACAATTGGGGAGCAATTGCCCCAAAGAGGTGGTGCAGACTCCAGAACAGTGGTATGAATGGAATAGACTTGCTAGGAAGGCAGGGCACCCTGTCCACTTGGAAGCCACTCTCTCATAAACATTTAATTACTTATTAAGTGACTACTGTGTACAGGCACTGCAATAGACTGTAGAGACACCTTCACCTTCCGCCAGGGTAATATCTCCAAAAGATGAAAATCTCTTTGTTTTTGGAGACTTCTAGAAGTTAAAATCCCACAATATCTCATAGGAACACATCCCATTCGTAATGGTTTAAGATTTAAAGCGTTAGAATTGTTCTAGTTCAACTGCAAATATAGTTTTGAGGGCTTTTGAATAGCTAGTCATTTATTCAACAAATCTTTATTGAACTCCTACTTAATGGCAGCAACTAGGGCTAGGACCTAGGGACACAATGGTGAAGAATAAGAGATTATTTCCAATGCAGTTTACCACTTATCCACCAAAGACAACGCTGAGGCATCTAGTTTTCTCTTTCTCAGAGGCAGAGGCCAAGTTACCTTCTAACCGTGAAATGCAGAGATTGATTCTTGTTAGACCCACAGAAAACTGGGCTGGATGGAAGGTTAACGTGTTATAAGCTGGTATTAGTTCACTGTGATATTAATTTAGATGCATGATATACTAGGGAAGAACAGAATTGAACAGAAAATCTTTCTGTTCATAGTGTTTTTCTCTAATTTTTACCTTTACTGTGACTGTTTTGGTCTCATTCTAACACTGTAGGAAAATTCACTATGAAATCTGGAACAAGTGAGCATGTACCCTCTGTCCTCAAAGGTTGGCACACAAACCTGTGAACTTGGAAAGAGAACAAAGTTTTCTAGTATGATAAACAAAGAAAATGGAGATTAAAAAGTCTGGTTTCCTCTTCTTTGCATCAGCACATACCAGTTGTCAGATACCTCTGAATAATCTATTTCTCCTGTTCCTGAAAGGTAAATAGTTATTATTACAGCATTTCCAAAAGGAAGTATATTTTAATTTTCAATAAAAATGGCACAAGTGAAGTAGTAATGCAAAGAATATAAGATGAACTTTTAAAGCTACAGTATTTACATTTGTGATTTTTTTCCCATCTAATTCCACTCTTCCCAATGATCCCTGAAAACTCGCCAGCAGGCTGACACCCTGATAAAGTCCAAAAGGAAGAAGGAAAACATAGTCCAAAAGGCAGGGAGGGTGTGGTAGCTAGAAGGGTTGTGGTGAACAAGAAGAAAAGTGCAGCTACTGAAGTGCATGTAGATAAGGCATTACATTCAAGGGCTGAAAGGAAGTATGCAGATTGCACAGTGCCCATATGGTACTGCCAACAGACTTCTAAGGAAGGAGCCCAACCTTTGGGTTCTTTTGTTTAGCCCTGACTTCCAAACAAAGCAAGTTGCAAGTCCTAACATTAAGCAGCAGAAAGCTTCCTTCCTTTGGGAAAACCTAGTAAAGGCATCTCTCTATGCCCTCTTATTGCAAAAAGGGCCAGCTTTCTCCTGAAGTTTCTACTGTTAGAGAAGACTTGCAAAGGCTGTGACAGCAGAGTGCAAAAGAGTTGGGCATTTAGAATAAAAATATAAGTCTATGTCCATTCAACCCTACAGGAGTTAATTCCCCTCCCTGAGCCTCAAATTCTTCATCTGTAAAATGTGGTCAGGAGATTGAATCAGAAAACAAAAGTGATTCTAAATTTCTAAAAGACTTCTCTATTTCCCTCTTTACCTCTTTCTTCCAATTAAAAAAGCTTAAGCTGTAAAATCATAATCTGGGGCCGGCCCTGTGGCTTAGGAGTTAAGTGTGCACGCTCCACTACTGGTGGCCCCGGTTCGGATCCCAGGCACGCACCGACGCACCGCTTGTCCGGCCATGCTGAGGTGGCATCCCACATACAGCAACTAGAAGGATGTGCAACTATGACATACAACTATCTACTGGGGCTTCAGGCAGAAAAAGGAAAAAAAAAAAAACGGAGGAGGATTGGCAATAGATGTTAGCTCAGGGCCGGTCTTCCTCATCAAAAAGAGGAGGATTGGCATGGATGTTAGTTCAGGGCTGATCTTCCTCACACACAAAAAAATAAAAATAAAATATTAAAAAAAATCATAATCTAGTCTACCTACTCTCCATATTTTTTTGTTGTTAATGCTTTGGAGTCAATTCTGACTCCTAGTGACCCTGTGTACAGCAGAGCAGAACCATGCCTGGTTTTTTTCTGCACCACCTTCTAGCTCTATATTTGACAATGCTCTGCTGCTATCCATAGGGTTTTCACGACCAATTTTTGTCGGAAGTGGGTGGCCAAGTCCTTCTCCCTAGTCTGTCTTAGTCTGGAAGCTCTGCTGAAACCTGTCCACCATGGGTGACCCTGCTAGTATTTGAAATACTGGTGGCATAGCTTTCAGCATTACAGTAACATGCAGCCACCACAGTACAACTGACAGAAGGGTGGTGTGGTTCCCTGACCAGGGGCCGTGGGGTGAGAGCCCTGAATCTTAACAACTAGACCACCAAGGCTGGCTGCTTTCCATATACCTGAGATTAATTTAAGCACAGTATGAGTAACATGATAAAAGTTATCTTTAGAAACATACACACACCAGTTTCAGAATGACACCCCCTGGGGTCTCTGCTGCCAGTTTGGTCCAGGAGCACAAAGTCACCATCCTGACACCAGGCAGTGTCCTGGCCATCACCCACTACTCATGTTTCAGTTGATGCTTTCGCAGGAGACAAAACCTTCCTTACCAAAATGTTTACATTTTGCTCAGAACAGTGATGGATGCATGGATAGGTCTTCATTTGACTACCTGAACAATCAGCTTCTTATGTTATTTCTCCAAAGCAGAATTAACTCACATAATTTTGCGTCACATCGCCAGGGCTCTTCCTGCATAAAAAACATTACGATATCACCAAACTCTGGCCTGAAAGTTCTTCTGGAATATCTTGTGGTTTCACCATTCCTAGGTGGCCTAGTACGTAATAGTCATAATTGACTTCATTGGCCAAATATGAAACCTGTTCAATACCGCCCCTGTAGGAGTCAAATTCTTATGTATTTATAACTTAATAAATTACAATTCAGAGTTGTGTTAGCAAGTTCACTTTGTTCCAGCCCTTTTATAGTTGAGACTTACAAATTTCTGTTTCCGGTGGGAAGCTGCCAATGAAGTATTAAAAGCATTTCATCCTCACAAGTCACATCTTGTCATCTTTCATATCCACATGAGAGACCAAACCCTATTTCACTCTGGTTTAAATTTTATTATCATTGTTATTAGTAATAAACCAACAGAAATAGGATAACAAAGGGAAAGTCAGGATAAATAACTTCTTCCTTATGAGTTAAAAGACCTGGGCACACACACATGCTGGTCTGCGTGAGTTATCCCCCCACCATTCTGTCCTACTGAACAAATAGTTATACAAAACAGTCTACAGAACAATGTGAGCAGCTGATATCACAACCTGAGCACAGGACCCCAGTTGTGTGAAGTCTCAGGCTGGTTCTTGGTCTAGATGACCAGCTTCTCCACGCTAAGAGTACTTGTGGTATCATCCTCTTCATTTGACCCAAAATACCCCGGGAGGTCCAGCATCCTCTGCTCTGCTTCAGTGAGGCCGAAAGATGTATTGTCGTAGAAGGCAAACTCGGCGTGGGCCGGGAAGCTCTGACACTTGTCTTTCCGACATTGAGACGGGCTCAGAGGACTGACCCTCTGGTAGCTATCTTTGGGGGCCGTGGGGGAAGGCTGCTTCCTTGAGACACTCCTGTGACTGGGGGACGGTCCCCTCCGAGCTCTGTGAGGCTCCGTTCTCTCACCTCCTGCCACCAATCCCGCCTGGCGATCCCCCAGGTCTGGTTTCCTGGTGGGCTGCCCCAAGGGGTAGGATTTAGGGAGAGGGCTTAATGAACCACCGGTTCCACCTGCCCCTTGGAAATGGTCCAGTTTCTCAGGAAGCAGGGCAGCACCTCGACTCTGAGGCCGAAGTCTTTCTTCTGCCTGGTCCCAGGTCCGCGTCCTAGAACTGTAGGCCGGGGCCTGCCGCGGGCTCAGCGTGGACATGCTCCTCTCCCGGAACGGCCGGGCCTGCTTGGTTTCGTGGAAACTAGCCGTCCTCCGGAAATGGGAACCCCTGGGGTGGCTCCGCTCCGACAGCCCCCCTCTGCTGCCCACGTGCCTCATCTGGGACTTGCGGATCAGGGTCTGGCTGGGGCTCACAGCGCAACTGGCCTGAGAGACGGTGAAATCCAGCCTGGAGGGGGGCCTTTCCCCGGCACTGATGGCAGGCTGGTCCAGAAATGGGGATTTGATCCTGAACCTGTTTGCGGCAGCTTCCTCTGGGCTTTCCAAGTCTAAGGGGGGCGCGGCGGCGTCGATGGCAGTGTCCGTCAGGGGACTCTGAGACACGTGGTACACCTTAGTGGTTTCTGTCAGGCCTTTCTTTTTCATCTCCTTCAACTGCTGCTGGGCCAGGCGGTAGCTGAACAGCGGCGGGATTATCTTCTGGGCGTTGGACTGGAAGCTGTCACTGCCGGAAGCGTCGTCCTCGGGAGCGGCCGGCACACTCCGCCTGTAGGTCAGAGGGATGCCCATGTCCCCCGGACCCCCCGCAGGCCCGTCCCCCGCATCCGAGAAGCTCCCGCGCTGCTCGCTCAGCTCGCAGATGTTCTCCTCGTCCGAGTTCTTCCGGAAGCTGGGCGAGTGGATGGAGTTGTGCCGAGCGGGGGTGCTGCACTTGGGGGGGCGGCCGAACTTCCTCCACAGCGTGATGAGGACGGTGGCCACGATGATGAACAAGCACAGGGAAATACCGGTGACCGTCACAATGTTGTTGGACTTCTCTGGGCCCTGGGGCTGAAGAGGAGACGGACTGGATGGCTGGAAAACTATTAAAAAAGGAAGAACAGATGTATTCTTTAGTATTGTTTTCTCCGGTGGTTTTAAGGTCGCTGAGTGGCTTGCTCTAATTATCTAGCAGATAAAGGAAGAAGTAAAATAAACAAGGACTAGGATTTCTGGTTCTACTACGTGTATCTCTGCTGGCAGCTTAAGCCAAGCTAAGAAACAGAGACCCAGAGAAGTGAGGTGACCAGTTCAGCCACAATCAAGGTGACTCCTTAGCTCCTGCTGACACTTGTCTCAAATTTTCTACATAGAAGCATCATGAGGGAAGTTCCAAGGAAAAATCCAGGTTTTTTCTTAAGATAACGTAAACATGGGATATCTGTAGTTAAATGTACCTTCAAAATGCACATCAGAAAATTCTTACCAAGTATAAAACTTGGAATGCAAAATAATTTCGGTAGGTTGTACCTAAATTTGCACATCTCGAGAGACATTAATAGGTGAAGGAAGACTTTCGGCAATATAATACAACTCATTCCTCCCTTCTAATACCCAGGAACTGTCTTTCCTAAATGTTGAAATGTTCCTCTGCTTTCTCACTCTTTTATTTTCAGCCGTCCGCTCCTCTTGCTACCTTCCATGTGGCGTTCATTTCTCCTCTTCTTCTCTGCTTTCTCAAACTGGTTTGTCCTACAGTCATCAAAATGTTTCACTAAGACTCAGAGGCCAGCTGGGGCCTCAGGCTGTACTGCCACTGAAATACCTGGGAACCTGAGACCACCTAATGCCACCAGGCCTCACCTCGCTTTCCTCCTTGGTCACTGTCCTCCATTCAAGCCCTTTCAGTCACCTGTCCTATCTCTTCTTTCCCACAGTCTTATCACCACCAGCTCTGTGCATCATCTCCTGGACCCATCCTCCCACCCTCCCCTCTCCTTTCTACTGAACTCTATAGGACACCTGATAACCAACCTCCTCACATCCACAGACTCTCCACCAAATGCTCCCTTTGCCTCCTTGCCTTACCTGACGACTGAATAGCCTGCAGGGCACAGCTTCCCCCTGCCCATCCTCCTGGGTGGAAGCTGTGACACATACTTTATAAGCAAAGAGGACCAGCAGCACAGTGTGTCCTCAGTCTCCTCATTCCTGATTGCCATTTTCAACCAACTCTTTCACCTCTGTATAAAACTTCTACTCTTTTGATGCCCATGCCATCCACTCAGACCAGCCCCCTACTCGTCCTTCAACCCTGTCATCTCCCAATCTTGTGGCAGCCATCAGTCACTACCACCTGGGTCCCAGTCTTCCTCACCATCCCATAGCTAGGACCAGCTGAGTGCTTCAGTGTCCATCCAACAGATCACAGATCACGCCTTCCATTGTCTACAGCTGCTCCTCTTCTGAACTCTTCAACTTCAGAGCCCACTTTCTGGCTATATCCGGTCCTCTCTCCCACTCATGATTACTACACCGGGTATTCAACCTCACTGCAACTTCAGATTCCCCAACCCCTCCATTTTTTCCCAATCTGCCAGCCACCTCCTGGCCTCACTTCTCTCCCTACACCTGTGATCCATCACTTAAACCATTCTCCTGCCAAAACCTCAACTCTCTCACCGCTAGTACTGAGATATACCCCTTTCCCTGCTCTGCAGCAAAAGTCCATCCCTAGATAAACCCAGTCATGTGGATCCTCTGCTGCTGCACCCAGGCCCTGAGCTCTGGCGGAGAAAATAAGGCACCCACGCAGGCCAGCGCCTCTGCGCACTGTCAGCGCCCAACCACAGCTGCCCACAAATCCTTCCACGGGTCCCTAAGCGACTCTCTCTTCCATCCCCTACAGTACTGCCTCAAAGTTTCACCACTTTCCTCAAGCCCCCTACCTAATCCCCTTCCTCAGCAGTCTGCTAGGTCACAAAAAATAGAAGCTATCAGGCAAGCACATCCCCAGCTTCTTCTGCCATCCTCTCCTCCCCTATAAAACTTACGAGCAGCCACACCTGGATTGACCTCTTTCTCTGTGGAATTAGTGGGAGAAGTGTCTTCCTATAAAGCGAGTCCACCCAGTGCTCTCGAGGCCACCCTTCTCTAGGGGGATCGTCCCTCTGTACCAATTATCTCTAGCTTCTCTTCTATGCAGCTCCACAGAAACACACTCGGGCTCTTCTCACTTTAAAAAGACCTTTCTAGAGCCCTCTCACTACTGCCATAGCCAGATCTTGCTCCTGGTCTTCCCAGCCAAGTTCACAAAAAGAGGAGTCCACATTTGCTGACTTATTGCTTCACATCATCATCTCTGGCTCCTGCAACCTGCCCCCAGGATTCCAATGAAATGCATCCTGTCAAGGTCATTAACGATCTAATAGCTAAATTCAAAGGAGTTCTGTCCTGATATTCCTTGACCTCTGCAGCACTGGCTACTGTCTGACACTTCCTGTGACTTTTTCTCTGCTTAGTTTCAATGATAACATTCACTTAACTAACTGGAGGGAAGAACATGAACTTTGGAGCCAGGGAGACTAGATCCCATCGTGGCTCTGTTAGTTCTGCTCTCTCCATCAATGTCCCACCAACATCTTCACATCCACATGCCCAAGACTCATCATCCTCCCCCCAGAACCTATGCCTCATGTGATATATCCAATCTCAAGGGCATGGCCCTGCTGTCCATGCAGTTGCCAGTACTAGAACCTTGGGTTTCATCCTTGATGCTTCTCTCTCCATCACTCACCACATCCAGAGTCTTTGAATCCGCCTCTCCTCTGCAACCCCACTGCCAGCTCTTCATTTTTCAGCTGGGTTCCTGAAAAACTCTTAACAGCCCTCGCTGCTGCCACTCCTACCCCCTCTGATTTGTACTCTACACTACAGCTGAGAGATCCCTCTAAAATACAGGTCCAAACCTTCAAGGCCCCTCAGGATCTGGCCCCTGCCTACCTGTTCAGCCTCATTTTTACCACTCCCTCCTGACACACTATGCTCTAGCCACATTAAACTATTTTCAATTCTTTGGGTCTCTTAATGTGCCATTCTCTTCCATGCTTTCATCCATTGCTCTCTTTGCTAAAATTCCCCTTCTCCCCTAGTTCACCTGGGTGACACCTACTCAGCTCTCAAACTTCAGCTCAAATATCGCCTCCTCCAAGAACGGAGATGTTCCCAGCACAGATTATCACCTCTGCAAGCATCTACAGCAAGCTGTGGGTACCTTCATCATTGCAGGCTCTCTATTGTACTCTGTATTACACCTGTTTATGTGTCTGTTGAGCTACTATATCAAGCCCCCTCCAGAGAGGGACATGTCTTATCCATATATTCCCAACCCCAGTCACAGTAACTTGCACAGAGTTGGTACTCAATAAATGGTAGATTAATTAATTTATTATTAAAAAGGTAACAGCAAAATGATCAATATCTCACCAGACAGAACATGGGTGCAATGGCGAATGGATCTTCCCACTCTTGTGTTGAACAAGATGGACCAAATTAATATAGAGCTACACTCAGATTTGGGCATAAAAATATCCTTTCAAAGCCAAACAAAACTCTAAACTCTCGACCAAGTGAAAATAGTTGAACAACGAAAGACTTGGTTCCTGACTTATCACTGCTTCCATCTGCAGTGGCTGCTTACATCAGCGGGAAGCAGCATTGCAACTGCACACTATGGAACCCCTTACTTAGCTGTTATCTCTGACTCTGGCTAGCTCCCTGCAAAACCATGGCTGGAGAAAAGCCCAAAAGCTGCTGACCTCTCCCATCTCTGCCTCATCTAGTCTTTCCTCCTTCACCTAAAGTGACGGAGATTACCTGATGCTAAGCAGCTCGCAAACAGATCTTTACATTTCCAAAGAGTGGAAAATAGGGTAAATAGGAAAAAGAGAACACTTGGAAGAAATGATCATTTTTACCAAGATAAGCACTTATGTGAGAACCACCTATAGTAGAAGTAGTGGTGTCTATAGCACTTACCCTTTTTGCTAATTGGTAATGTAAAAATTTCTAGTTCCCACCCGATATTAAAGAGTTAAGATACCACAACATGATATGAAATAATACCACATATCCTCAAAAATGATTGCAAATTCCGGGTTGTTGATGCTTCTAGAAAGCTAGACTGGCCTTTATATAAAGGCAAAGTAGTCAAGATAGGTAGCTTAGTATGGGGTCAGATCTACTCCCCTGCTTTCTAGCTTTATGGTCTTCGGCAGGTCACTTACCCTCTCTGGGCCGCAGAGTCCTAATCTGTATGTGGAGATCATGATGCACCTACTTCATATGTGCAAGGCACTTAGAAAAATGCCTGGCAGACAGCAAGCTCTCAAGATTTGAGCCCACCATAATAATCCTTACCTTGTAGAGTTATTGTGGGCTTTAAGTGAGATAATGTATTTAAAGTGCTGGCATATAGCAGATGGTCAATAAATGGTTGATACCATTGTCACTTCCAAAGGTGCAGTAGAAGCCAGTGGCAATTGATTTTAAATTCATTTAGTATTATGGAACTCTAGACGGAATATCTTAACACCATATGCTCTCCCAGAATTTAGAGGAGCAGGCGTATTTGAAGGAAGTTATACACAAGGAAGGAGCTGTGGAAAGTGAAGAGAACTTATAAAGAAAAGAGTAGACACAGAAGAGAGCCTTAGACAACAGCATGAAACATAACTGGAGAAAGAACAGATCCAGCGTGGGGCCCAGGGATTAGGAAAGAAGGACAGGCTGAGGATTAGGAGAAGAGCCTAGGACTGAGGCTGTAATAGGAAAAACTCAGAAGTGAAAACATCCTCAGGATGCTAGAATAAAGGCAACAAGGTGTATAGCACTGCTGGAAAGACAAGATAGCAAGAATAATCTTCTAAGGCCACAGGCAGGGACATCAGCCAAGGTGTTGCTAGCTGCCTGTGGTTTCGCCTAAAAGGTGCTCTTTAGCCAAAAGGTATGTTGAGAGCTAAACAGAGAAAAACACCGAACTCCTCCAGATCCCAAAGGGACAAGGAACTAGGGATGGCTTTTTAACCTGGAATTAGAGAGTGGAAGAAGGCAGGACTTGACAGAAGGACTTTATCTAAGAGTCAGGACCAGAGCGAAGCCTGGCCAACTAAATAGGGGGCTGACTGTGTATCAGAAGGTGGGATGGTGTGTGGGACGAGCAAGGAGTCTTTGTTACTGTAACCTGTGGCAAACGAATGGGATGCAGCTCCATAAGCTGAAGCAAACCTAACTGAGCTATGTGAGCATCACATCTACGGACCATTCACATCAAACACTCATTGAGCACCTCCTAGTGTGTGCCTTGCAGATGCTCAGAGGATCAAGGAAAAGTTAGTCTCCAGGTGATGGAAAGAAGAAATCTCCCTACCTTCTCCTCCTGACTAGGGGTGGTAAAGAATATATGTAGAGCCATTCAGGGGATAAGGCAGGGTGTCTTCCCCCTTTTTGACAAATAACGGTTTATGTGGTCCCCTGGGGCTTCTCTGGGATGATGAGGAGAAAAAAATTTTTTGTATGTTTTTCCACAATTTTGGTGGGAGGAGGGAGAAATAACAAAATAAAACAAAACAATCTGGGAAAGAAATAACCATCTCTCCCGTTTTTGTGTTTTTAAAAATTATTTAATATGTCTGAATCTTTAATTTAGATAGATTTCCTTGTCCTTTCCTGATCTTCTACAGTGTTAAATCCCCTGTCATTCCACTGGCCAGCTACTCCCAGTCATAGACACATTAAGGAAAATAGGGTTAGCACAGCCAACAGCAGTAACAGAGGGTTAATGAATCCACTCCTGAACTCAGACTGGTATTTTCAGGCAGGCCTGGGTTCAATATTCCCTCTGATGGAGGCTCTGAGGAGAGATTCCTGAAAGAAGAATACCTACCAGCACAGTCCTCCAGGGAACATGGGGAGGTCTCCGAGGACATTCCGGGGCAGCCAGGTCTGGAGGAGAAGGAAGTCAGGCACACGCGGCGACGCTCTCTGACACCATCCCCACACGTGGCACTACACTGGCTCCACGGCTGCCACAGTCCCCAAGTTTCTGCAAGGACATTAGCCATGCTTTTAATGCTAGTTCATTTGAGAATCACTTGAACTGCAGCCAAATGAAGCAGCAAAACTCAAACCTCAGGCCTTGAAAAGTCAGTAAATAAAAACATTCCTAAAGATGTGAAAAATCTGGAAAAGAGTGCTGCTCCTATTCTTAAAACAAAGAAAAGCTGTATAATCTAAAATTACTAACCTTTCTAGAACCCACCACAGAGCTAAGGTCACAGGGCAACCAACTAACCTGAAATACAAGGAAAGACAGGATGCAAACACTGCTTACTGGGGCAGACATCAGGCCTCATACAAACTGGTGAGAAATCATCTAAAAACGTAATGAATTGCTAGAGGCCTCGTGTGGGCTATCATGAGAATATAGAACCCCTGGGAGCCACATACACAAGGGGAATGTGTACCCACTTGCCAGCTCTTCTCCATGGTTTTCACCAGATGCTCACAAGAAGGACTGAGCACAGGCACAAGACAAGAGAAAGCCTCCCTCATGGTGGAATCCCGAGGAGGGAAGAAGCAGCACTGTGGGAAAGATGCAAACCTCACCCAGATCCTCCTCTACATCAGCTCTATCAACAAAAGTCTCAACCACTGGGACAAGACAGCAAATACCTGTTACTCTAAGACCACTGGCTGATACCCAGTGCCACTAGGGAATGGAAAAGGAAGAAAACCCTTCACCCCAGAGAGGAGCAGAAAATATCCTGGGCCAGACTATTAGAAGGTTTCTACCACTGGGGAGGGGCAGGATCATCAAGAAAGCCCCATCTCTGAAACTCAGGGGCACAGCACTTGCCTAAGATTTTAAGGCTGAACTGGAACAAAAAGGTTGCTCTCCCACTCCCATAGCCCACCCCCACCCTGCACCAGGACAGCAATTACCAAGTATCAAATAACAACTGTCTACTGCTGAGGCAGGGGCAAGAGTGACAAGAAAACCTCTCTGATGTGCAGGCTCAACCCTAAAGCTGAGGGTGCAACAGAAGCATGGAGAAAACCCCTCTGGCAACCAAACTCCTACCCTAATCACGAAGTAACATTAGAAAATTTTGAACTCGGTCACGCACTGTGGGTAGCCATAGCAAGAGCAAAAACGAAAATGGCTCAATTTCTTACCACATTGACCCAATCCCCACAATAAAGACCTAGCAAAAACAAAATATGCCGATTTCCAAACATAAATACTATTTATCAGTCTCTACAGTTCTAAAAAAGATGTCCAACTTTCAACCAAAAATTATGAGATACACAAAGAAGCAAGAAAAAAACAAACTATCAAGAGACAAAGTAATCAAGAGAACCAGACTCAGATGTGACCCAGATATTGGAACTATCAAACAGAGAAGTTAAAATAACAATGATTAATATGTTAAAGACTTGAGTGGAAAAAGTGAACAAGATGCATAAACAGACGGAAAATTTCATCAAAGAATTGTGAACTAAAAAGAGTCAAATGGAATGAAATGAAAAGCATGATAACAGAGATGAAGAATGCTTTAGAGGCTCATCAGTAGACTCAACACAGCTGAGGAAAGAAACAATGAATCTGAATATAGGTCAATAGAAATCACACAAACTGAAACACAAAGAGGGGAAAAAAGAGTGAATAAAACAGAATAGAATACCCAAGAGCTGTGGGACAATATCAAATAGTCTCTTATACAAGTAACTAGAATCCCAGAAGAGAAGAAGAGAATAGAATAATGTTCAAGAATTCTCCAAAATTAATGAAAGACACCAAACTACATCCAAGATGCTCAGAAAACACCAAGAAGGATAAATACAAAAAAGCAAATAAACAAAAAACTTAAACATGCTATATGCAAAGTACTAAAAACCAAAAACAAACAGAAAACTTTGTAGGCTATGGCAGGAGAGAAGGGGGAAGGTGGAAATACATCGCATACAGAAGAATAAAGATGAGAATTACGGCAGACTTCTCATCATGCAAACCAGAGATAATACAGTAATATCTCTAAAACTAAAAGTAAAAATGACCAACCCAGAATTCCATACCCAATGAATATATCTTTCAAAAATGAAAGAGAAATAAAGACTTTTTCAGACAAACAAAAACTAATAGACTTAATTACCAGCAGACCTTCACCACAAGAAATGTTAAAATAAAATCTTTCAGGCAGAAGGAATATGATACCAGACAAAAACTTGCATCTATCTAAAGAAATGAAGAGTGCCGGAAATGGCATTTATAATTTTATTTATTTATTTATTTTTCCCCCAAAGCCCCAGTAGACAGTTGTATGTCATAGCTGCACATCTTTCTAGTTGCTGTATGTGGGACGCGGCCTCAGCATGGCCGGAGAAGCGGTGTGTCGGTGCGCGCCTGGGATCTGAACCCGGGCCGCCAGCAGCGGAGTGCGCGCACTTAACCGCTAAGCCATGGGGCCGGCCCGGAAATGGCATTTATAAAGGTAAAGATAAAATTCACTTTTTCTAATTTTTAAATGCTCTAAAATATAATTGATAGTCGAAAGCAAAATACTAACAATGTATTATGTGTTTATAGCCTATATAAAGTAAAATGTATGACAACAATCACACAAAGAACAGGAGGAATGAATTGGGAGTGTACTGTTATAAGGTCCCTACATTACCGACTAGGTGCCTGGAGAAAGAGTAAAGGGGCATTTGGAAGCAATTAACTGTTTTTCCAAGTTGTTTCTTTTCCTTTTGTATGTTAAGGTGATATAACCACCAGCCATCCTGAAACTGACCAAGCCTCAGCACAAGAGTTATGCCCATGACCTTTGCCTTATTTTTAATGCAAAGATCTCTCCAGGAGGGTCTTGGCCTCATGTGGAAGCATGTTCTCCAGCTGAGCCTGTGCAAGCAAATACCCACCTCTCCCTTTTGAATATTCATTCCCCAACTGAAATAAAAGTTCCTGCTTCCCTTTGTCCGGGGATGCCATGACTTTGGAAATGATTCCTCATGGCCTCCTATTTGCTGCAAATACTCTTTACTTTGTGGACAACTTCCACTGGTGTAGAGTCTTATTTAACTCACCAGGAGGCAAGCCTACTTGGTTCGGTAATACTTAACACTACATAGGAAGCAATATAACATTATTTGAAGGTAGATTGAAAGTAAAGATGAATATTGTAAACTCTAGGACAACCACTAAAAAACTTTTTAAGGTATAAACAATAAAGCAACAGGGTAAAGTAAATCATAAAAAATATTCAATTAACCCCAAAGAAGGCAGAAAAAAGAGGAAAAAGAAACAATGAACAGATGGAACAGATATAAAACTACCAAGATGGTAGATCTTAATCCAATCATATAATGATTATACTACATATAAATAATCTAAAGACACCAATTAAAAGAGAGATTGTAAGACTGGATAAAAAAGCAAGACCCAATTATATGTTGTCTAAAAGAAACTCACTTTAAATACAAATACATAAGGGCCGGCCCCGTGGCTTATCGGTTAAGTGTGCGTGCTCCGATACTGGTGGCCTGGGTTTGGATCCTGGGTGCGCACCGACACACCGCTTGTCCAGCCATGCTGAGGCGGCATCCCACATACAGCAACTAGAAGGATGTGCAACTACGTCATACAACTACCTACTGGGGCCTTGGGGAGAAAAAGAGAAAAAAAGGAGGAGGATTGGTAATAGATGTTAGCTCAGGGTGGGTCTTCCTCAGCAAAAAGAGGAGGATTGGCATGAATGTTAGCGCAGGGCTGATCCTCCTCACAAAAAAAAAAAAAAAAACAAATACATAAAAAGGTTACAAGTAAAAAGATGGAAGAAGTTATACGGTGTGAACACTAATCAAAAGAAAACTGGAGTGGTTAAATTAATATCAGGCAAAGTAGATGGCAGAACAAAGAATACTACCAGGGATAAAGTGGGACACTACTTAATGATAAAAGGGTCAAGTCAGCAAGGAGATTTAACAACCCTAAATGGGGATAAATGTAACACCACAGCTTCAAAATACATACAAAACACTCCCAGAACAGTCATTATTGATTGATAAATGCAAACTTCTCTTCCAAGCATAGATGCAATCACGCCAGATAGAATAACTGAATAGTCCCCTATAAAAAATTATTCTAAGTCCCTTCTCTATCAGCACCCATCCAACCCCAAGACCCATCAGGTCATGCCAACACTAGGCACCAAAACAACCTCTGCATAAAAGTCTTTCTTCATTCTTTATGGACAAAAACTCATAATGCAGTCAAAGGCACACAAAGCACTACAAAAACATGAGGAGAACGTGGAGGGCAGATACATTCTCAGGTGAGCCAAGTGGTGCAATCTTTGGAGTGAGTGAGTCATGGACTATGACTTCTTTACAGCAATTAAAAGTCTCCGGGATTTTCACAAGAGTGGGAGCATTACAAACCAGTATCCTGGACCAACATCAACTGAGGTGTGGTAATTATGTTCCATCCAGAGGTCCAACTGAACACAATATTGGTTCTGTGCCTCCCAGATCACACTGCAGCTCCTCAAACGGCAGAACAATGGGCCAGCTTTGTCCTCAAGCTTCAGAGCTGTTCAGGCACTAAGCTCCCAGTGCTTGCAAAGCTTTGGGACTCTCTCATATTAAAGTCTCTCTGAGTTAAAGTATTATGATTTATTTTTCAAGCATGTACTGGGAATTCCACTGCTGTGAAATCTAAACTGAAAATTAAGTCAATGTACAGTTTATCCTTCCTTTGTGCTCATATTTAAGACCACAAAATGTAGAATTACAAAAGCTGAGAATCCTTTTGTTATTCTTTCTTAACTCTTTTTTCACTTTACATAATTTATTTAAATACCAAAAGTCATTTGTCAAACTAAAAACAATAATTTCATTAGTAGGTGCCAGAAAAAAATCAAAGTTTTAATAAAAGCATGCATCTTAATGTCAAAAATCTCATTTTGAAATGTTGTGTCCTTTGCCCTTGAAAGTAAAATCATGGCTTGTAGGATAATCAACAATAAAAAATAAACAAACATTTAAGCTACGTTTTATGTCTTTTTATTTCTAAGCCAAATTAATCAAACAGGAAACACAGGAAAACATTCAAATAAAGCAATGGACAAATTTAATCAGGCAAACAAAAAAACTGCCGTAAGTAACTCTATCTGTTCCCTGAAGATTTCTGCTAATAACTTTGAGGGAAATACTTGGCAAAATGGGAAGTCATTAAATAACTGTAGTTTATGTTTTAGAAATGAAGAGCAAGATGACCAATATTCCAAACAGTCCTACTTCATGAATGAAAGGTTGTTTGTTTTGTCTTGTTTACATGGTCACACATGCGCTCACACTATAGAACAAACCTGTTTGGCCAGGATAAATACCTTTCAGGCCACTCTAGAGGATATTAATTCTGAATGAGCAAAATTTGTCTGGAATAGGAGAAGGGAGATTTGTTTCCACTCCCAAGACTATCTGAAGGAACACAGCCTATGAAATATTCACATCTGCAAGACATTTTGCTCAAGAGACTAAAGTAACTAAACAAAACATGCTTATAAGAAAATTCTACAGACATTAGTGAGTAGCTACAAGCAGCAGCAGGAGCAAAGTCTCCTGGAAAAGCAGTTTAGACTTTCTGTGCACAGAACAAGACTCACTTATATTGGACAAATCATGTTTACACCTGGGCCAGTGGACTCCAAAGTGGGTTACATGTCTTTCAAGAGTGTGGCAGCACAAGATGAACCAGTGAGATGAGGAGGAAAATATTAGAACTTTTTTTCAATCTAAAAAGCCTTATATTGTTTAATACACGGATTGACAGGTAATTGTATGGAAGGCAGTACAGAACAGTAGTAAAAGCAAACTCTCGAGCCAGTCTAACCACCAGTGGTAGTTAAGCCACTTCACCACCATTGACCTTGGGCAAGTTACTTAACCTTTCTGTGCCTCCATTTCTTCACCTATAAAATTGACAATATAATAAGCCTAACTCAGAGGGTTGTTATGAAGATTAAGAGGGTTGTTATGAAGATTAAATGGGTTAATATTCATAAAGCACAGTGCCTCATGCAAAGTAATCACCATATAAATGTTAGCTTTATTATGTCAGATGATCACATACCGTATGTCAGATATCCTAAAGGAATTCCAAAGGAAGAGCGGGAGTTCCACTGGGTGAAAGGTTTTAGGGGTTCATTCACTTTTAGAGAATTGTGGAGTATTAAAGCATCCAAGATCTGCTTACATGAATTTTTTAAACTATATTTTCTAGTTTTAGGTAAACTAAATCACAAGGTAGACAAGTGGTTTTAAAAGATTCCAGCAAAGAATTAAAGATAACACTATTATTGCAAACAGCTGCAAATAAGAAAAAACTGACAGGTGACAGTACTATTCTTTGTTAAAAAGCTCCTATTCTATCATTACGACGTTAAAACAGGATCATCTAACCAGAGAAACAAAAAGATGGGCAAAAAATTTAAATTATCAAGAAAACTATGTGTTAAATATAGACAATTTTTTTTTTTTTTAAAGATTTTATTTATTCAGTTTTTTCCCCCCAAAGCCCCAGTAGATAGTTGTATGTCATAGGTTCACATCCTTCTAGTTGCTGTACGTGGGACTCGGCCTCACGTTGGACGGAGAAGTGGTGCCTCGGGGCGCTCCCGGGATCCGAACCCGGGCCGCCAGCATCAGAGCGCGCACACTTAACCGCTAAGCCACGGAGCCGGCCCAAATATAGACAATTTTTATTTGTCAAAAAAATAGAAGAAAACTACGTGAATATGAATTTATACTCTCTATCATTAATAATTCTCAACTTAAATATACATATTTTTTGCCTTGAGATACAGGGTCCATACTCCCTTATCAGAAACCCGTGGGGCAGACGTGTTCAGAATTTAGAATTTCTCAATCTAGATTTTTTCAAGTTATTACAGTCCCTGTGCTGTATATTACTAACACCCCCCCTAGTGGGATCTCAGGCAGTATCCCATAACCAAACACATTAACATTTCTGCAGAGAAAAATATAAACATTCACACTAAATAGGATAAATGAAGATCATAAATAATCATTTTTGGCAATATCTAATATATTTGCTATAAATCGTTATTTACATACTATCTTCAGGCTCCAAGGAGACAAAATGCATAGGTCTTAATGATTTATTATTTATAGCAGCTGAAGGAGAAGGGGGGCACTCCTGGGGTTTCTGGTTTGAACAAGATGGGTGGTGGAGTCCTGCACTGAAGAGCAGGTTTAGGGGGTAAACTGAGTCCAGTTCCAGGTATGTTGCCTTTGAGGTGCCTGGGAGACATCTGAGGGGTGACAGCTATTCAGCAGCACTTGGATGCAGGAGAGAGACGCCAATCTGGAGTCGTCAGCATCAGGCTAGTAACTGCTTAGCAAGTATGTGAAGAGTAAAAAAATGCAGAAGTCCAACACTTAACGGATGAGACGAGCTGGTGGAACTGACAGGCAAAGGAGACAGCCAGGGAGGTAGGAGATAAACAAGGTATGAGGTCACAGACACAAGGTCAATGAAGAAGACTGAAAAGCATCCCCGGATTTTGGGACCTGGAAGTCATGTGCTGGCTGCTTTAGTGAGAGCGTTTTCCAGGGAGGGGTGTGGGTTCAGAGTGGGTTGAAAAGTGAATGTGAGGTGAAGAAATGAACCCCAAAGTACAGGAAACCTTTCCAAGAACGTGGGCTATAAAGGGAAGAAGAGACAGAGTGTTACCTATGGGAGAACCAGGGGTTGAAGGGCGGGGTTTGCTTCATTTTTAGATAACAGAATTAAGTAAATGTCAAAGCTGATGGGAATGAGCCAGTAAAGAAGGGATAGTGAAAGACAGAGAGAGAGGATAATGATAAACAGAAGTTTCCTGAAATGAGCAGAGGAGCTGGAATCCACAGTGGAGGGGAGGGCTGACCTTGTACTGGAGGAATGACACCTCTTCCCCGGTGACAAAGGAGAGGGAGAGGATGGCACAATGCCTGTAGGCCTACAGAGTCTTCAGCAGGAGGGTGAGGGCACTCACATCTGATGGCTTCCAGTTAGCCAGGGAATAGGGCGTGAGGTCCACGGGGGAGGTCTGAAAGAGCTGTTGTGGAGAACAGGAGCAGAGCTGACCAGGGCGCCTCACTGGGTGGCACGGTGAGCCCAGCTGAGGGTGGAGGCATGACCCACCCATGGTGGCCCTGGTCTGCCCAGGTGTGACCTTCTCGTGCAGTCTGGATGCAGTGGGCAGCCGCAGCTTGCTGGATCCATGCAGAGCTGGGGTGTGGCCTGGCAGGTACAGCGGAAGGACAAGGGCAGAGGAGTTTAAGCTATTAGTAGGAGAGTGAGTAAAGGGATGGGCCTCATAATCTAGGCCAGATAGAGAGGTAAGTGCAAGCAGGGAAGTGGACAATGAGTGGGAAGGGAGTCAAAGGAAAGGGACTTCTTCTAAGAAGAGGAAGTGAGTGAATCTGGAGCAAAAAGACACTGGGGTTGGCTAGCCCTGGTGGCCTAGTGGTTAAATTCGGTGCACTCTGCTTCAGCAGCCTGGATTCAGTTCCTGGGCATGGACCTACACCACTTGTCTGTCAGTGGCCACGCTGTGATGGCAGCTCACATACAAGATAGAGGAAGATGGGCACAGCTGTTAGCTCAGGGCAAATCATCCTCAGCAAAAAGAGGAAGATTAGCAACAGATGTTAGCTCAAGGCGAATCTTCCTCAGCGAAAAAAAAAAACACAACACTTGGGGTTACAAAGATGGTCAAGGCTTGGGCCGTCGAGGGGCACTTGGCTCAGTGGGGATGAAGACAAGAGAACATGTAAGCGAACCAGACAATCTCTGCCAGATTAACCTCTTGCCAAGATCAGGCTTACACCCAGGAAAAGGAAAAGAAATGCAAAGAGGAGCACGGGGGTGGAAGGGATGGTGATAACCTCGCTTCCTTGTGATTAGGTAGGTCATTAAACAAAGAATTCAGAATTTGAAGTTTTTAGAAATCTTGCTTTCAGAAAGCTCACTAAAGAGACTTCATTCCTACAATGAAGAACATGAGAGGAAAGAGACGTGCTTAGAGGAAGCCAGAAGTTACTAAACACGATTTGGGATTTAGCTTTGAATTCTGATCATACCTGCTATGGATTTGCCATATGATGTAATAATAGAATTTTTAAAATATATTGTAATAATGGCTAATGTTTATTGGTGTTTCCTACGTGGCAGGCACTATGCTAAGAACTGTATACATTTATTTCATTCAATTCTCACAACTCTGTGAGGTACATACTAATTATCCCCCTTACTGATGGGAAAACTGAGACAGAAAGAGGTTAAGAGTGAGCCGGGTACCCTTATCAGTACTCTTAACTTTTCAGATAAGGATGATAATACCATTTGAGACACTAATGGGGAGTAAATGATAAAAATGATCATATATAGTTCACAGAAAATTAAGTTCACCTAAATTCAAAATAATAATTTTGATTGCATGAAGGCATCAATTTGATTAAAAAAATTTTTAATCTCAATACCAACCTATATTTCTCTGAATTAGCATGCACTCCTTCTCCTTTGTGGAAAAATGGCTTCTGCTGGAAACGCCAAAGTCAAAACAGTATTTATTCCTCCCCATGTCAAACAAAGTGCAGTTGAATACTGTTCTCCTCTCTCCCAAGGTCAGGCTGTTTTCAGCCAGTCGAATGGTCCTTTCCCCGGGGGGTCTGGGGGCCTCCTTGAAGACGGCAATCACTCCTTGGACGAAGACGCATGGCGGGGGCAGTACCATCACCTCCACCCCAGACTCACATGTGAGTTCCGGCACCATCACCAGTTTGTATCCAAATTTCTGGGCCAGGTCAATGGGTCCTGTGGAGGTAATGACCGAGTCTCGGCCAAGCAGCTTCAGCACCACAGTGACATAGGCTTCAGGCCCCACGGGTGCACAGCCAAACTCAACCCATTGGCCTTGAGAGAGTTCTGTCTTCTTGCTGGTTCTTATCTCCAGTGGCTGTCCCTGACTTGTTCTTGCCTCGGGAAGACTGTTGGTGAAGATCACATCCACCATGATGTCGGGTTTGTCCCCAGGGAATGGGCACAGTGGCTGATTGGTAAAAAGCCCCACCTGGAAGGTGCCTTCTGCTGCCTTGGATGTCCTATTCAAGTCAACGTGAAAGACAGGCCATTCCACCTTCAGAAGGGCACTTTTCTCCCACCAGGGGACTGGAGTGCTGTTATCTGTCGCTTCCAGAGTCATCGTGAACCAGTAGTTGCCAGCCTCTTTGAAGTAGAAGCACTCAAACTCGAGAGTCCCCTGGGACTGGTTGGTCAGGAGGTACTTAGTGGTAACAGTCTGATTGGTGTTGGCCTCCAACAACAGGACAGATACATTCCTCAGCGTCCCATTAGCACCATCGAAATAATGGAAATCCACAGACACAGTGTTGTTGCTTAGCGCTACATGGCCTGGCTCTCCCAAGAGGAGGTATTCAGTTTCTCCAAGAACTGAAATGAAATGGTCAGAATGGGTTTTAAAAAGGTATATTTGAACAGCACTATTGGTGACATCAAAGAAAACATCATTTTAGACACAAGAGAAGTTTGAACTGAGCCAAGAATGATGTAAAAGGATGCTGAGCGCTTATCCTGGGAGCTGGGCACTGTGCTGTTGCCATTCTAAAGTGGCTCTGTTCCTACAGGTCATCTTTCAGGGTTATGTTTAAAGTAACTAATCAGTGAAAAATACTCCGAATTCACAACATTCAGCAATGTAATATATTTGCAGTGAAAATCTACAATGCAAGAACAATTGACAATTCTCAAGATGAAAATCCAACACCTCACTTTTCTCATTGTAATCAAATTCTGGTGTTTAGGTATTTGGGGGAAATGGATTTACAGTGAAGTGAGAGAAAGTTTGGTTTAAATGATATAATATAAACTGCTCTAGACTATTTAAAATCTAAGACCCTAAATATACTTCAAAGTTGTTATTTTCTGACATTCAAGACAAGTACTTGGGCATTTTCACCAGTAAAGGAACTGGTGCCCTCGGTTTATACGAGGCAGAAATTTTTAAAGGAATAAGAAATGTTGACACTATTCTCCATGGATCATCCAAGGGATAGAGTGAACATTTAGGAAATAGCCTGGCTTGTCCTTGGCAATTTTAATGACCTTACAGTAACTGCTACTGGCCTAGACAGGAAAGATGACTACTAGCCCACAAGTATCACTCAGTTAGGATCCATCATATCTTTTTTTTTTTTTTTTGATGAGGAAGATTAGCCCTGAGCTAATGTCTGTTGCCAATCCTCCTCTTTTTGCTGAGGAAGATTGGCCCTGGGCTAACATCCATGCCCATCTTCCTCTACTTTATATGTGGGATGCCACCACAGCACGGCTTGATAAGCAGTGCATAGGTCTGCGCCCGGGATCCAAACCTGTGAACCCAGGCCACCGAAGCGGAGTACGTGACCTTAACCACTATGCCACCAGGCTGGCCCCCAATCATATCTTTTTAAAAAAGACTCATCAGAGCAGCTGAAGAGTGGAAAAAACACAGACACACAAGAATCCTTGCTTCTATTCTGAACACTATCCAAATATATATCAAAGGAGACAGAATTTGGCAAAGCAACAATCAGCTGGCCTATGCCTAGGGTAAGAAATAATTCTAGACTTAGGGACTGCAGCACCCTTTTGGTTTGAAAAACAACATATGTATGAATTTATTATTCTTATTGTATATACATAATAATACAATATGTTATATTAATATAATAATAATATACATATCACACATGTCCAAAAGACTTCAACATGTTGTTTGGGTTGGTAGTCTTTATTTATTTATTTATTTATTAAGTTTTAATTAATTTACTTTTTTATTGCAGTAACATTGGTTTGTAACATTGTATAAATTTCAGGTGTACCTCATTATACTTCTATTTCTGTATGGATTCCATCATGTTCACATGTTCACCACCCAAATACTAATTACAATCTATCACCACAGACATGTGCCTAATTATCCCTTTCGCCCTCCTCCCTCCCCTCCTCCCTCTCCTCCTCCCCTCCTCCCCTCTGGTAACCACCAATCCAATCTCTGTCTCTATGTGGTTTTTTTTTTTGTGATGAGATCAGCCCTGTGCTAACATCTGCCAATCCTCCTCCTTTTTTGCTGAGGAAGACTGGCCCTGGGCTAACATCTGTGCTCATCTTCCTCCACTTTATATGGGACACCGCCACAGCATGGCTTGCCAAGCAGTGCATCCGTGCATGCCCAGGATCCGAGACGGCGAACCCCGGGCCACCGCAGCGGAGCGTGCGCACTTAACTGCTTGTGCCACTGGGCTGGCCCCTCTATATGTTTGTTTGTTGTTGTTTTTATCTTCTACTTACGAGTGAGATCATATGGTATTTGACCTTCTCCCTCTGACTTATTTCACTTTGCATAATACCCTCAGTGTCCATCCATATTGTCACAAATGGCTGGATTTCATCATTTCTAATATAATAATAATATATATATCATACATGTCCAAAAGACTTCAATGTGTTGTTTGGCCTGGTAGTCTTTTTTTTTTTGTTTTTGGCGAGGCAGATCAGCCCTGAGCTAACATCCATGGTAATCCTCCTCTTTTTTGCTGAGGAAGACCAGCTCTGAGCTAATATCTATTGCCAATCCTCCTCCTTTTTTTTTTTTTTCTTTTTCCCCAAAGCCCTAGTAGATAGTTGTATGTCATAGTTGCACATCCTTCTAGTTGCTGTGTGTGGGACGCGGCCTCAGCACGGCCGGACAAGCGGTGCGTCAGTGCACGCTGGGGATCCGAACCCGGGCCACCAGTAGCGGAGCGCACGCACTTAATCAGTAAGCCACGGGGCCGGCCCTGGCTTGGTAGTCTTTAAATATACCCTTACACGTAGTCAATCAACGATCATTAGAATCAGCACATGAATATATCAGCACATAAAAGTTTGGGTTTTTTTTTAATTAGTTCAGCACTTCACCCATTTCTTATTTAAGATGAGGTGAAATAAAATATATAAAACTTGGACAGACCTGAATGCTTGATCACCACTTGCTTGAAAACCGTAATAGGATAAAGTTCTTTTTTTTTCATTTAGTCAATACAGAAGTAGAGGGACACTCCCTTTCAGATGGAGACGACTCAAGGTTGAGGAAGGAGGCTGATTCTGGTACAGCTTGTGCACCGGTTCAGAGCCCACCTGGTACCTTTTTGTGAACGGGTGGCTAAAGAGACTCCAGCTCTCACCACAGCCCAAGGAAGGAGCGAAGGCTGAGAACAAAGGTCATATTAATTTGAATCTGATGGAGCAGGATGGTTCTGTGTTTGTTTTAAGGTTGAGAGGCATACACCACTTAGTTAACTAATGAGAGCCTACTGTTAATGACAGGAACTGTCAATGAGGCAGATCAGATTCTGATTTGATGGGCAGCCAATTACTGAAAGAGACACACATGCCCAGCTGGAAATGGAGAAAAAAGATACAACTGATGGATTCCAGCAGCAGCAAAGAGAGAACTCGCTACTTTACTCTAGAGCTCTTGTTTTTACACAGAGGAATACATTATCATTTAGAAAACTACAATTTGGTTTTACCATATCCTCTACTACAGTACAGTCATGCCTCGCTTACCGAGGATACGTTCTGAGAAATGCGTCGTTAGGCAATTTCATCATCGTGCAAACATCATAGAGTGTACTTACACAAACCTGGATGGTACAGCCTACTACACACCTAGGCTACATGGTACTAACCTTATAGGACACCGTCTATATTTGGTTCGTCGTTGACTGAAATGTCATTATGGGGTGCTTGACTGTATAGTGTTCTCTATTCTTTCATTTCCTCTCTCCCCATTTCTTTATTGTATTTAAAGTAACTCATGTCTCAATATAAGCATGTGGTTTAAAAAAAAACTACCTGGTAGTGATATATTTTGATCCATATCAAATGAAGGGAAAAAATCCAGCTCTATGAAAATACTTTCCTTTCCATTAGTAGCTTGTACATTCAACTTCTATGCTCTGCTCTATTTTACACTCATTCAACCTTTATTTTTATATTCCAGTAAGATATTTTGCTCTCAACAATGACAAACATCCTTGCAGACTTTGTTTAAACAGAAGATTATGATACTTTTTTCATTTTGAAACCACACTCTTATAATTTTTTGTATGAGGCTGTTACACATACAACGATCTGTTTAAGTAGGGATAAATGATTTTAAAAGAAATGAATCCCAGATTGGTTTTCAGTAAATCAAGCATCTTCTTCTTGTTTAAATAAACTTCTTACAAAAAAAAGACTAAGGAAGGAGATTCACTGGACAAAATGAACAGAACACACTCTGGTCCATTTAAGTAGATGTGCCACTGATATTACATGAGCCAGGATTCTCTATCTCTTGGATCATAATTTCTTCATCAATTTGAAAACAATTTCCACTCTCATACCATCAGCTGCTTAGATGTCTATGAAATATTTGGAAATCATCAAAAGAAAAGTAGTGAGTATTATATTCTTGAATCTATTGGTTCAGTAGTTGCATAAAACTCTCTGAGAAACGAACTCGATTTTTAGTTGAAACAAACTGAATGAAGAAAAGGAACATTAAGCACCTACTATATGCTCAGACATTCTTGATTTTATTTTAACATCACAACTACCCTGTGAAGTCAATATTATCGCTAAGGTTTAAAGAGGTTAAGAAACTTGTCTAAGGCATGCAACTGGCAAGGACTGAAATTCGGATTGGTTCCAAAGATACTCTAGTGGCAAAATTCTCCTGTCAAGCAAAATCTTATGTAGAACCCCAAAATGTAAAACATGATTTCATGTGTGTAAGTGGAGTTTAAATGTATAATACTGAATTACTAGGAAATCAATCAAAGAGAACTCAGAGTCACATGATTGTCTCTGATTTGTTAAAATGAAAGTGAGTTGCTTTTTAGTATTTTTTTAAAGACTTAAAAATATAAAGTGAAATTTGAAGCAATAATGCAGTACCTTAAGAGAACCCAGGGTTGCAAGGATCACAGTTTAAAAGGTACTGCATGTTCTTCACGCAGGGTCAACATCATGCATTTATACACCTCACATTGATGTTTAAATAAACATCAATTATTGATACCTATAGCATTAAGTATACTCACAATACTCACCACAGTCACAGAGCACCACCAACAATAGATTTGAAAAGTCTTTCAACATTTGTTTCATTCTGATCAGCAAAATCCCAGGTCTTTGGTCTCCTCATGTCCTTTCTCACAACCAAATTGTGATTTTTTTCCAAAAACACCTGAAATTAGAACCTGAAAAAAAATGACGGCTCTGTTCAATGTGATTCATATAATAGTAATCATAAAATAAAACCATTCTAAGAAGTCAAACTTCCTAGTTGATACTGAAAAGAAAGTAAGGAGGACACTAATGTTCCCCAGGGAAAAGCTCTGTAATTCTACACGCTCCTTTTCTTCCATTATAACTTGCCTGTTAAAGAACTTGCAGGTATGTCCAACACCAAGATTATCTTTGCGAAACACCATCTCTTCTCTTTACAGCACATCCTTAAGTGGAGAGTTTGCTGTTATTTGCTTAATTTCATCAAAACTAATAGTCAATCTGGAGGATACATCTGCTTAGCATTTCACACTGATCAATTTACTAAATTTTTGCCAAACTTTCATTTTGCATTATGCTGTGTAGACCTGCCTTGCTTCCAAATGGGCTTATTAATACTCTTTCTTGCACAATTGGTGTGTTAGCTGGATTGCTTCATTTCTTAATGCCTAGGAGCTACATCAAAACTATTGGACCTTTAAAAAAGATACCCAGAGTATTACAATTAAAGGTGAACTCCCTGTGGCCCGGACTCCCTTGTTTAGGGCACTCTAAAGAGAAAACATAAATAACAATTATCATCTCCTGTCAGTCTTCCAATACTTGTTCCTGCCGGTATGCATCAGGAGATAGAGATGATTTCATGCAACAATCTTCCCAGACCACCTCAGAGGGCAGGAAAGACCCTGCTGGCCTGTGGTTCTTGCGAGAGGAGGGACTTAACGTTGATACAAACAGACTATTAGACGATAGAATAAGACCTAGGGCATTTAAGAGCCAGTTTTTTCCACACCAGAGTCTAGTAAACTATGGGCTACTAAACATAACCAAATATATATTTTCTTAATGTTTACATTCCCCATTATCCACAGTTAATATATTTTAATTTTAATAAGTATACTATATTCCAAATATATGTATGTTACATCCCTTCAGATAAGACAGAAATTAATGGAATTAGAAGGACTGATGAAAATATATTTTTATTTTTTTGTGAGGAAGATCAGCCCTGTGCTAACATCTGCCAATCCTCCTGTTTTTTTTGCTAAGGAAGACTGGCCCTGGGCTAACATCCGTGCCCATCTTCCCCCACTTTATACGGGACGCTGCCACAGCATGGCTTGCCAAGCAGTGCGTCGGTGCGCGCCCGGGATCCGAACCAGCGAAACCCGGGCCGCCGCAGCAGAGTGTACGCACTTAACCGCTTGTGCCACCTGGCCGGCCCCAGGACTGATGGAAATAATAAAAAATTCAATGGAAAGAGAACTGGTGTCTCTATGAGCTTTCTTTCAATAGAAATTGGTTGAACACAGGAAATACTGGACTTCCTTAAGGAAAGCGGAGATCTGAAGTGTAATTATGCAAATGATTAGGCTCCATCCCCTCCCCAACAGAAAAAGAAAATTCAATTTTGCTGGATGGAATTAGGCACAGATTTGACCCAATCCTTTCCTAGTACATGGACTGGGAAACTTGGCCAAAGACAGCAGGCGAGTATCATCGTATCTCCTGGGCAAATGTGGCTGCTGAGGGCAATTTAAACACTCCCTTTAAGTCACTGATCCTCAGTAACCAAAGTAAGGAAGAGCAAGCGACCCTCGCTCCCAAAAGTTGTACTCGGTTCTCCCAATTTGCTTGCTTCCCCATGACAACCATTTCTTAAAGAAGCTCCTGATCACAACTGATTTTGTGATTAAATGACCAGTAAAACACAGAATTGTGTGATAATCCACATTTAGAGCTGAATGGAATTATAAAATAAACCAGCCTACCTGAAAATCGTAAGGATGTTTTTTAAAATGTTCTCAAATTTTTGAAAATAAATGCTGAATTTTTACTAGCTCAACAACTAATGTGAAGACATTAACAGAGCACCCCAGAACGGAATGGAATGCTAGACAAAAAGCACTACAATTTTTTTTAAAAGATAGCGTGCTTCTTTAATTTTCTTTTTTTTTTTTTTTTTTTTTACCTTGCTTGCTTTTCTTCCAACATGCTGTTTCCAGTACAGTACTGGCTATTTAACAACGTTTGGCTTGAGAATCGTTTTGAGAAAATAAGAACTCAAGTGTATTTCATACACATTTTTAAATACTTCTATACAGCATTTACATAAACGTTTACAGGCAAATTCTAAAGGTATCAGTTGTGAATATTCTCAATGGCTAACAGCATCACGCCAAGCTCAGATACCATATTTTTGCCGAAACCAGCTAAGATAAACCCCCACAGGGTCTTCATAGCTGCAGAAAAAGAAAATGAAGTACGCTAAGTCCATAGGACCAATGACTTATCAAAGAATAAAACGGAAAATAAAAATAAGCAAAGTAATTTTTGACCCTTCTGACAAACACGCACACGCTCGTGTGTGTGTGTATATCTAATAATAATATTTATTAGGAGGAAATCCCTAATTCCAACGCAGCTCGTGTAAACAGGCTTTATATATTCGATCGGCTCTGCCCTGGTCCCACGGGCTGGATGCAGCTTCCCTAGGAGCTAGGCGCTCCCCACCTCCACTCAGCTTCCTGAAGGCCCGCAAGTCAAGTTCTTGTTTGGAAATCCAGCCCTGCCCGTGTCGTCAGCACAAAGCCCTCTTAAAATGAGGACTGTTTTGAAATGCTTATATCTCAAAAAGGATTTCTATTTGGAAAGACGCAAACTTGCTCTGAAACGCTTAGCATCCCTACACGTTATTCTTCCTGGGTCCCAACTGGGATTCAACACCCGTCTCCGGTCAGCCTCCGTCCCTCGGCAACACCTGCGCCAGGGGAGAGCCGGCTTCACGTTCAAGCCGGGACGCCGAAATACGGAGACGCACACTTTTTAAAGCGTGTTCCTCGGCGGCAGAGGCTGAGCACCAAGAAGGGAGGCAAGGGGACTGGGTACGTCCAGGGAACAGCACCGTCCACCTGTGCTTTCAAGCTGCGGGGAGGGTGGGGGCGGCAGAGTCCTGGCGCACTGCCCGGCCCCGGCGGAGCCACCGAGAGTCCTCGCGGCACAGAAGCGCCGCCGGATCGCGGAAGGCTCTTCTTACCTCTCGGGATGGGTGGGCGCAGCAGCCCGGGCCGGGGCGAGCGAGGTGACGAGGAGAGCGTCAGGAAGGAAGCCTCGGGGGCCGCGAGGCAGCGCGCCGAGCATCCCGCGTCCCGGGACTGCGCGCCCTGGCCAGCTGGGCGAGCTTCCCGCAGCCCCACCCGGGCCCGCCCCCGACGGCGCGGGGAGGGCGGCACCCGGAGGGCGGGGGACCTTGGCGAGGTCTGCCCCCCCCCCGCCCCCATCTGGGCAGCGCATCCTTTCCTGCCCGCGCCCGGCTAGCGCGCTGCTGGACGGGAAACCGGGCAGGAAACGCGCATGACCGGCCAGGGCCTGCGGGAAGGGGGTGCAGAGCCCCTAACGCACACAAACCCACAGCCCGCAGACGGAACCCGGGTTTTAAGGGCGAGCCAGCAGTCTCCCAATATTTCAAATACAGTCACTTCCCCAGTGTCACTTTCTTCTGGGGGAACATAAAAGTAAGTGTTTGAAGTGCATAATCGGTGGCCTGTAAACTTGGTTTCCCAAATGTCGTTGAAGAGTTTCAAAAGGAAGCAATTTAGGTAAAGTGCATATTCGTTTTTCTTTCTCAGGAGCCAGAACTGATTATTTAATTAAATTTAAAATAGCATTTTAAAAACTCTAATCCACAAAGCATTGAAGTTGTCTTTTTGAAAGAACACGAGAGGATAGAGCTCCACCGTGTTTTTTTTTTTTTTTAAAGATTTTATTTATTTATTTTTTCCCCCAAAGCCCCAGTAGATAGTTGTATGTCATAGCTGCACATCCTTCTAGTTGCTGTATGTGGGACTCGGCCTCAGGATGGACGGAGAAGTGGTGCCTCGGTGCGCGCCCGGGATCCGAACCCGGGCCACCAGCATCGGAGCGCACGCACTTAACCACCAAGCCACGGGGCCGGCCCTCCACCGTGTTTAACAGCTGTGGCTGCTTTTGAGTACACTGTAAGGTGCCATAGAGTTTTGCATTTGCTTTTCTTTCACACAAAATATACCACTTAACAGGCAAAACTAATGTGTGGTAGTGGAAATCACAGCACAGTGGTGACCTTTGGGGAGCAGGTGATTGGAAAGGGGCACCAGGAAACTTTTAGTAACGATAGATCTTGGTTGGTGTGAGTTACATGGATTTATTATGCATTTGTCAAAACTCATCCAACTTAAGATCTGTGCATTTCACTGTAAATTTTACCTCAATTTTTAAAACTCTTAAAAAATATAGCATTTGCAGGTCCTTGAATCTATCACTTAATCTTTTAAAAGGTAGCACAATTATTCAATTAGAGTTTATCAGAGGTATCAAACTTGCTAAGTATTTATCTTCTCAAATAACTAATTCTAGCAGTACTAATTAAATCTATCCAAAGTTTCAAAAAAGGCTTGAAAGTCACCTTCCATTTTCACTGACAGTAGAATTATCTAGTCTAATATCCATTCATCAGCTCAAGTCGGGATTCCTTTTCAAATGCATGCCACAGTCCCTGGCATTTTCCGTTTGAAAAGCAAAAGCTCAGTGGAAAGAGTGGGCTTTGGGGTTAGATAAAGCTGAGATTAATTCCAGCCCTGCCTCTGTAACCTTGGGCAAATTACTTAGTTCCTCCTTTCCTCCACTGGAAAAGGCATATAATATCGGTTATATCAAAGTTTTGTGGTGACTGAGTGAAACATGTAGAAAGCAACTTGCTCTGTATTAACCTTTCAGACACACACTCTCCCTAGAAACCCACTCTTGGGGGGTGCAAGGACCTCAATCTAGGAGCAAGTGGCTGGATCAATGGGTCATTTTTAAAATAACAGCTTTATTGAGATGCTTGGTCATTATTGCCTTAATTAGAATTCTTGCCAAACTGTATTACTGTCTTTATTGGACAGTTAAAATAGTTTAATCTTTCCTAAAAGAAGGCACATTGACTTGAAGAAAAAAAAAGCTTTCAAAAGAACAGTGGAGGGGCCGGTCTGGTGGCGAAAGCGGTTAAGTGCTCGCGCTCCACTGCGGCGGCCTGTGGTTTGCCAGTTTGGATCCCTGGCGGGCACCAACGCACCGCTTGTCAAGCCATGCTGTGGCGGCGTCCCATATAAAGTAGAGGAAGATGGGCATGGATGTTAGCCCAGGGCCAGTCTTCCTCAGCAAAAAGAGGGATTGGCAGGTGTTAGCTCAGGTCCGATCTTCCTCACACACACACAAAAAAGAACAGTGGTATTGTCAGTATCGAACTTAAACAAGCTGGCTGTCCATATATCTTGAATTCTCCTTCTGGGTCAGTGACTGGTCTAATGATCTTGTGCAAACTGTGTGACATTGCTTCACTATCTCAATAATGTCCTTTATACAAATGGAGAGATCTTTTATTTCCCTAGATAATACCCTGAGAGAAAAGCTTTAACTGACTCATGAATATCAGGGCACAAGGAGGAACATGAATGACCCAGTTTTCTCACTGTAATAACAAGTTCTTACATGTGTGTTAACCTGACTTTTTTGGAGTGCTACGCAAATCATGGATGTGGCCCATGTCATGGAATTTCAGTAAGCGTATCTCAGACAGGCTGAGCCCTGACAAGCCTGGTTGAGAAGCCTCTTAGGAAGAGGAGTAAAGGACACTGATTTAGGTTTGTGAGTCACTCATGACACATTATAATCCAAAATCACTCAATTTGGTTAATACTTAACTAGGATCTACCTTGTACAATCACTGACTTAGGCCAGTGGGAACTCAAAAGAAGTGTTGTGTGACAGTCCTTAAACTCAAAGAAACCTGATTTCTCTATTTTCTTATGGCATCAAGACAACAGTTAGAGAACAAGATAAAATATAGTCAAGTATATGAGACAGATAATAACTCTTATGGAGTTTAGAAATAGTAGAGTTGTGTACTGGAAACAGATTTTTCTAGAGTGGCTGGAATTGAGCAAAGTATGATTTTGATTAGTGCGCATGGGGGTGGGTGAGTGGGAAGAAGTAATGAAAGAAAGTCTGGATAGACAAGGGAAAGTGTCCCAGGAACAGGAAGAGGCACACCCCATGCTGTTCCCTTGACCAATGCCTTTTACCTACTGACCATCTCTTGGTCCTTGTGAGCCTAGTTTCCTAGGCTCTTCCTCTCCCACAAGGCCTTCCCAAGTCCCTCCATCAAAACTAAGGGCTCCTTCCTTGTCTTCCACAGCATGGTACTTGTATCCCCTCCACGGCACATACTTCATTTCATCTTGAATTAAGGTTGCTCACATGTCTACTGCCCCAATAGGCCAACCTCTTTAAGGGCTGGGGCTTTATCTTATTCACTTTTGTATCCCCACCAGTGGCACACAAAGTTCCTCACACAAATTCAGTATGTATTTTTAAAAAAAGTGTTTTCTTTATTGAATTGAATGGGAGATAAAAAGTAGGATAAGGTGGAGCCAAATTATAAATAGGTATATACATCAGAGTTAATTCATTCAGTAACTATTTACTGCGTCGTACTGTGTGCCAGGGCCCTGTTCTGGGCTCTGAGGATCTAACCATGAATAAACCAGAGAAATATCTCTTCCCTGTGGAGCTTACACTCTAGATAATGGGATGGGATTGGCAATAAATTTACATAAGTTCAACCATACTGTTGGCAAAAAAAAAAAAAAAAGACATGCATTTAAATAGTTTATTGGTGCTATAAAGTCTATTGTTGATACATAGTTTCTATTACATACTGTACCTACTAAATTCATAAAATACACTCATGTATCACACCACAGGGATTCTAATTATAAGACTATACAGAGAACTTTATTGGCAAGTTAAGCGATTTTCAAGGATCATTTTGAGCATGCATGATTTCATCCCTAGGCAGTCTTCAGCACAGTCTTTAAAACCTGACCACCTTATAAGTTGTGTCTCTACTGTACCAAAATGAAAACTCTGAGATTGCTGGGCAAAGGAGAACCATTTTAAGTATCTGAGCATGAGAATGATGACGATGAATCCACGTCTGGTAAGATTTGTTGGGTAACAGGGAATAAGAGACAGTACATTCACATGAACACACATGGTCAATCAACAGTGGAATTCACAGCAAGAATTAGAAAAAACAGTTCATGAGCCATTTCCCATTCTTTTAAAACAACTAAAATAGTAAGAGCTTGAGATCAAAAATATTTATAACCAACTCTTGATTATAAAATCTAAACGAAAAAATTGTAACATATTCGCTTATTCTGACTAAAGGTTTATCATTTTCATATATTTTTCAGAGTATTTAAAAAGAACACCAAGAAAAATCATTTTTAAATTTTGCAATAATTTTACTCTATATACATTAATACCAATCATTTAACCCTGAAAACAATCTTCACTCGTACAATGTAAAAAAAACTTTTGACAGTATCTGACTAGAAATATTCCATTACCATTAAAGCTACAAACAGATTTATGCTCCTAAGAGCAAAGTTAGGAAAGCAAAAATAATAACCATACCAGTGGTAAGCACCAATACAGAAAGAACTTTTTTGCACTTAGGGCCTGATTGGCTGTATTTAAACATAACCTCTACCAACAGAGGACCAAAATAACATCTTATTTGGCAAAAAAAGAAAAGAGATAAAAATATACATACAGAGGTCTGGAAACAGTGAAGAATGCCCACTTTAAAAATAAAACAGTAAAATCAATCATATTTGTTTTTTAGTTAATGTGACATTTGCAAAATATATTCATATGTTACTTTTTTTCCTCTTTAGTTCACTTTATACTATTCAGATTGTTCCATTTTTGTTAATGCGTTGTCACACTAATGTAAATCAATACGTTGAATTATGGGAGTTTTCTATAATGAATCCAAACCATTAGAGCTAGATCCCGTAGCTCAAACAACCTCAGTGGCAACTCATTCCAACTGCTGAAACACATTATTTATCTTTGTAATTTTTAAAAACCTTAGCCAGATAAGATATCATGTAAGTCTGTGTGTGTGTGTGTGTGTGCACACATGTGTGTGTGTGCACACATGCGTGTATGTGCACGTGCAAGTATGCCAGAGCAGTGTGAGAGAAAGAGTGCAACCCAGAGAGAGGAGTGACATACAAACAAGCTTACACAATGGCCCAAAAGACTTGGGCAGCCAGACACCGAAATGTCCCCAAAACAAACCTGAGGCTGAGCAGTGGGAGAATTAGGGGATCTGTCATCACAACGGAGAATCAGTGACAGATTTGGAGAACCAAGACTAAGGCAGGATGCCTCGGCCACAACATTCCCATGACACTGGCGGATGCGAAGCAGCGACAGCCCTTTTCTGGCAGGGATCAGGGACTGACTCTGGCTACACTTGGAGGGATTCCCTGGGTCTGCAGCTCAGGGTCCTGCAACATCCCCAAAGGGCATCTGCAGTAGCCTCTGGCAGTGGCCCTCCACCTCACTCAGTGAGAACGTCTTAGGGATCCCAGACTGTGGACCTGGGTATCCCCTCCTCCCGGTCTCAGCAGTTCTCTCAATATAGATACTATCCCTTTCAGAGGTGTGGCCAAAAACCATCCCTACCTTCCACTACCAACTCAGTCTGAGAAAGAGGGTCTCCTCTGTCCCTGTGGGGTCCCTGAGTTTGAGGTAATGCCATCACACTGTATGCTGTATAGCGGTATCATATGAAGGCAGACAAGTCTGCTTTAAAACTCAATATAAATTCAATATTAGCTGGTTTTTATTACCTCAGTAATACTTTTTAGCGAGATAGTTTCTCCACACAACTTATGATGTGTGGGGTAAAGAAAAAAAAATATTGCTAGAATATGATAGAAAGATTTTTAAAAGTTCAGTGTTGAAACTCCCTAAGGGAAGGAAAAGAAGACGTTACTTTTCCACTCTCTATGTTCCTGTCCTTGACTTCGAGGTCAAAGAGCACCAAGGTCCCTGGTAAGCTAGTTAAAGGTCCTCCCAGCCCCTCGGCCTACACAACAATCCTAGGGAACTCCTGAGCCGTCTACTCCCCAAATCTGTAATCATATCTCTGGGCATGTCTACACAGCTCTTTAATGCAGTTTCAAAATCCACCGCATTTTTTAAACAAAATGACATAGTTGCATTCTTTAAATGCCAGCTATGAAATCATCACTTAAAAAAAAAAGAAAGAAAGAAACTACTCAGATTATATATACGTAAGTCACATAAAATTCTCTCCTTTTTTAAGTGCTTTATTTGGTCTGTTGAAGACATGCTTGTGACTGCTTCTAAAGAAAAGCCCTTAGGAGGAGCCTCATTTGGCACTCTGCAGTTTGATATTTTGTTCCAATGTTGGCAGGTTCTTCAGCTACACCGTAGGTATGACCTGCTTATGAAAACCCCCCAAAATGGGCACATTAGATACAGAAAAAAACCTCATTTATAATTCAGTGAATTTTAGTCACACCAAAATAATGACCTAACCTGTCCAAACATGCAACTTCTCCTTTATTCCCCCCGTGAACTAAATTCCCTTCTTTAAAAAATGGTCAGATTTGAGGATCAAGTTAAAATCCATCATATTTCAAGTTAAACTCTGAGGATTCTTTACAACTGTAGCATGATTTCAAATTCACATTGGCATTCATTTTTCTGTATTTTCCTATATTTATCCTAAATAAACTTCCTGAACCATTATATTTATGGAGAAATTAAAAGGGTTTTATATTATACTGCAAAGTTCCAGTAAATGCTCAGTTTATAAGGGTTTATCCTTAGCTCAATGTCAGACAACCTCCACATGATGCAAGTGTATGGACAAGAAGTATTTCAAATACAAAACCTTTAGCTCTGTGTCATAAATAAATTCGGGTAAAATCGCAAGCCTTCCACCGAATCATCTCGGCAAAGATGGCCCATCTTCTCTGCAAGAAGCAACCTAGAAATCAAGGGAAAAAGCCACAGTCATCTGTCCGTTCAGAAACACAAACACAAACACAAGGTGTAATGAAGAGGAAGGGCCTTACTTACCTTTCCTTGGCCAGGAGGACGGACATTCCTACAAGCTTGGCAAACTCTTCTGACGTTAGGGATCCCTTTTCTGAAACCTAACAGAAACAGAGCAGAAAAAATATGATAATGTAGACCACCTAGGTACCAACCTAGGGACAATGTCTACCAGCATAATCAAGAAGTAATTTATTGAATTTTCTACTAAATCCACAGAATATTCACTACAGAACTAAATCTTCTTCACTAATGTTTAATTCTACAAAAGCTGAAGGACCCAGAAGAAATAGAGAAGTTAAACTATCATGAAGCCCTCTGTGATGTAACAAAGGCACTGTCATAAAGCCTAAAAAGAACTATTCGATATTCTGAAAAGGAACATATAACAAATTCTAATTGAGTGCCTATTATATGCTCCAGTGAGGAACTTTATAGGTTCAGTTTAAAATACGTGGTAGAGGGGGCCGGCCCTGTGGCATAGCGGTTGTGTGCGCACTCTGCCGCTGGCGGCCTGGGTTTGGATCCCAGGCACGCACCGATGCACCCCTTGTCAGGCCATGCTATGGCGGTGTCCCATATAAAGTGAAGGAAGATGGGCACAGATGTTAGCCCAGGGCCAGTCTTCCTCAGCAAAAAGAAGAGGATTAGCATGGATGTTAGCTCAGGGCTGATCTTCCTCATCAAAAAAAAAAAAAAAACAAAAAAAAAAATCACATGGTAGAAATATCTAGACTTGGAGTTTTCACCTAGCTTAAAATAAGAAGCATAATAAATGTGAGTTATTTAAATTATTCGGGCTCACTGCAGAGGCTATGAAGGCAGTACTATTTCAAGTATCCTAATGAGTAATATCAGCAGTTTGGCCAGTAAAATCCATCTAAACTATAGTTGCTTTTCATATTTTTTGGAAGCAACTATTTTGCAAAACAACTTGTGATGTTTTAAAATGCTGCTTATGTAGGTATTATTGAAAGAAAAAGTTCAATCATGGGTAACATTCTAATTAAAAAATTAAAAACTTGTTCTCAACACTGAGCTTCAAACGAAAAGAGAGCACCTCACTAATTCTAATTCTCCTTACTTAGAAGATGTTATGAGTGTCGGTAAGTTTCAAAAAGCTTTTAAAGTATAATTTTGATTACTATTTTTTCCTTGATAAACCGTCTTTAATCGGGTCTACAAATATTACTTTTTAGTAAAGTTAAATTCAAAAGGAAATCCTGTTTCTCAAGTTTCTAAGCATTCGGGTCTTGGTGGCAAGGCCTAATAACTGGAGGAACCCGGTTCACATACTGTCTCCAAGGCTGAGGCCACCATTTCCTCTTCCTTGTGGGACTGAAGCTCGATTACCATGACGCCACTGTCAAAAACTCGGAGCCTACAAACCGCAGACGGGAGAACAAAGCCGTGAGTATCTGGGATCTTCAACCCCTGAGGAGGCGCAAGTATTTTTTACTTTCTCTTATGCCCAGGTATCAAGGCAATATTAACACAAAACAACATTTAAAACATAAAGACCACAAGCAACTACAGCACAACTGAAAAGCTCATAAATAAACAGTTACTAAAACTATGAACTATAATCCAGATGCTAAATAAAACGTCTGGCTACTTTTTTTTTAACCTGAGGATAAGGAAAATGTAATTCACAACTCAACATTTTACTTCTAAGTCTCCAGAGACTAACACAAAATGTCTAGGGGAAGAGGGGCTGGTTATTCTGACCTCATGGGAGGTGCCTCCATTCTTCTCTCACTGGCCTAAGTCGACAACAGTTGGACTACTAGCCCCCTCAGGCCACGCACAGCCCGTCAGGATGGAAGCCAGGATGACAGAGATGCGTGAGTGCCAAGTGAATTCTGTTCACACAGAATGTAATTTCAAGAGGGGCAATATGTTGGCTGGCCCCGCAGGATGGTGCCTGGCAGGGCTTGCCTGTCTACTCTGTGAGGAATAGTGGCTATAGCCGGCAAACTTCCCGCGGAGGTTCTTTTACCTGAGGGGTAATTTCAGCGCTTCCAGCATCTTGCATGCATTCACTAAATCTTCTGGTGAGAGCAACTAATGGGGGAAAAAAATCCAGTTTACACTGCAAATTAATAGAATGATGCTATATAATTATAATGATCCCTAAAACAGAAGAGGAAATTTAAAAATTATCACTTATCAAGGATTTTAGGTGCCTTAATCACTATAAGGCAAAAAGGACTAAGCAGACTTCTATTCATTAAAGCAGTGTTACCCAAGAGAAATATAATGCAAGTCATATATGTAACTTTTAATTTTCTAGTAGCCACACTAAAAAAATAAAAAGAAATAGGTGAAATTAGTTTTAATACATATATTCTATTTAACCCAATAGATCCAAAATTTCAACATATAATCGACATAAAAAATTATTTATTCTGAACTAAATCTTCTAAATCTGGTGTGTAATTTACACTTACAGCACATCTCAATTTGGATTAACTACACATCAAGTTCACAATCGTCACATGTAGCTAGCTAGCGGCTACCCTTCTGGACCATGCGGCCTTCACAATGAGCCCAAGTGGTGGCTGACAAGCACAGCTCTGAGTCACACAGAATGGCTCCGGAGCCAGCCCCGCCTGGGTCCAAATCCCTGTCAAACCACTGTCTTTAGGTGCGGCTTGGGTCAAATTATTTAATCTTTCTAAGCCTCAATTTCCTCATCCCCAAATTATCCCCCAGAGGGAGATAGTAAAAGTAGGTGCCTCACCGAGTTACTGGCAGGATAAATGAGGTAACCCATGCAGTGTCTGGTGGATAGTGAGTACTCACTGATGGCAGTTATGATGACTATTCAAATAAAAACAGAGCAGAGGCTTAACTCATGGGACCAGGATGAGTGCTGGAGAGACAGGTGTGGGTCATCTGCATGGACACAACTGCTGACACCACAAAACTGTATTTGACTTCGAGGACACAAAGAGTGCACAGACAGAACCGTGGAGGCCAAGGGTGTGAAGGGGCAATGAGAGGTGAAGAATGGCCGCTGCTGATTCAGAGCCAAAGGAGCAGGGCAGCTTCCCCTCTGTATCATCTACAGGCAATCTGTATCCATCCCAGTTAATTCAAATAGTTAACTGCCACAGAGAAAGGGCATCATGCTCAACCTTATTAATCACAGTACAAACACAGAATATTAGAGCTGAAAAGTATTGGTGAGTCCAAACCCTTATTTTAAAGGTAGGAAAACTGAGTTCCAGAGAGGTTAAGTAAGCTACTCAAGGTCACTCAGCAAATCATTGGCAAAACCAGGAGCAGGATCCACCTCCTAGACCCTAGGGCAATGTTCTGTTCACTGGACCACACTGCTTTTCAAAATACTTTTGACAGTCACAACCCTTCCTCAAATTGTATTCACTATAGGGGAATTTGTATTACATTAAGAAAGTCTATATTTAGTTAAAAGAATATCTAAATATTCTATTCTTACTTCCATTCCTCGAGCTCGGTTTACTAAGCAGTACACCTCTGTGAGTGACATTATTCCCCCTCGTTCCTGTTAAAATATGCAATAAAATAAGTATTATGTTATAATTAGCACATTAGCATTTCTTAACAGAAATCATAAAATTTCTTAGGCTTTTAAAAACTATATTTACAAACAGGAGAACCTGTTCAGATACCACGAGGCACTTCAGATTCAATATTTGGACTTTAATGTCATTATTACTGTTTTCACATTTACTTAATGAAAAGAGGGGCCCTATACCATGTTTCAGAAAGTGCATTTAAATGTTTTAAGTTATTCCAGCTAATAAATGAAGAAGAAATCATAGAATTAAATAAGAATATCACCATTTTGCAAGCCCTAACAAAGGAACAGATCTAGATAATGACTGTCAATGGCTGCTAACATCACAAAAAAAAGACAATCAGACATTATATACCTCCTGATGGAAATGCACAACACCCTCTATAAAATATTCTTGTCAGGAAAAAAAAGAAGTTCTGGATATAACTACCAGTTTACAAGGAATACATAGGACAGGGAAGCATGTTAATATACAAGTCAGCAAAATCCAGACTCTAAGACACTCTATAAGATAAACTACTAGTCTCTTCAATAAATAAATTATGGGGGGAGGAGGGAGACATGGGAAAAGGAGAAACACATGGAATTAAAAAAACAACAAAACCTTGAGAGATAAATCAACCAATTGCTATGTATCCTGATTTAACAAACCAACTGTAAGAAAAAATGTGAACACTAACCAGATAGTTGATAATATTAAAAAATTATTTTTAACTTTTTGGGTGTGAAATGGGATTATAATTACATTTAAAGGCATATTTATCATTATAATTACATACTGAAATATTTACACATAAAGCAAGGTGATGTCTTGGATTTGGCTTACAGATGAAGCTGGATGGTGGGCACACAGGGATTCATTATACTATTCTACTTTATCATATGTGTGAAATATTTCTTAATACAAGCACTTTAATAAATAAAAGTTTTGATTGCCTGAATAATGTTAGACTAGAATATGAGTCTGTATTATGAAATTATTAACAGTACACTATATATTAAGACTAGATATATGTCAATATATCTATATATAGAGAGATCATAGATTTCCTTTTGAAAATAAGAGATAAAAACTTCATATCAAATAGATTTCAAAAGTTATAGATATCTGAAATGGAAATTGAAAACAATTTAGAAGATTATTGACAAAGAATTCATTAATAAGTACACTGAATTAATTTAATATTCCTGAAAGAAAAAATAACGTTCGTTGACTAGTAACCATATCATGAAAGGAGTTAGGCTCTTCTTATGATTTCTGATGACACGGAAATAATTTAACACAATTTAAAAAGACTATTTAGGTTTTGTTTGTACCTCTAAAGGCGCCTGCAATATTCCAGCCAGCTGTTTGGCCAGCTGCATGTGGTACTGTGTGCCTGAGCCGTAGGTTTCCCTGGTAACTGGGTTAGCTATTCCCATGCTCAGCAAATAGGATTTAAACCTGATGGTCTATAATGAGAAAAGAAAATACACAAAAAGACTATGTAGAATCAGTCTATCCACCCCAACTTATGAAATCCTTCCATCATAAATTCAATTCTACTCAATTATTTCTATATCTACCCATTTTCTCTACTGTGTTTCTCTTCTGTGAACTATATGGAAGCGAATTTCTAGCAGTTCCCTGCATAAATCCTGCATAAATCTAATTATTCTTCTTCCTTCTCCTATTTTGATATCCCATACTCCATTTACCTCACAAGTTTGGTGGGAGAGGAGATTTAGATAACAACTATGCTATATTTAATGCCAACTAAATGATACCACCGAAAACTTAGAAAGGAAAATGGCTGTGATCAGATGGTAGAAAAATCTAATGACACAGATATCAAACTTAGGGATGTGTATAAAACAGCCACTCATACATTTCAATATCTCTGTTTTCTACACCCCAGGAAAAGGTACTGAATATCCTTTAATCCTACTAGACCTATCAAAGCTTTTTATGGTTGATTTTTTCTTTAGCACTTTCATATATCCTTAAGTCCTAAAAGAAATAAAACACTACATTAAGAAAGCAAACTGGTAAACTACCAAAACTTCATCGTGTTATTTGTGTAACCTAGTTTCTAATGCCTTAAAAAAGCAACCTATTTACCTCATCTTCTGTGATGTCACCTTGCTTGTCTTTTATCTTATTAGCAATTGATTTTGATAACTCCACCATTTCCTTAGCCTGTCAAGAGAACAGTAAAAGACAGAAAAGAAATCATGTCCCTAAAGTGTCTGCTAACAAAATATATTTTCAAAACTGTATAATTGGTATGAATTCACTGGGTGTAAATGACATATACCTTGACCATTAGCTTGCTGAGGTCTTCAAAGGCCTGAAATGAGAAATGAGTCTTTATTGGAATCTGCCTAAAGAATTAAAATGTTTTAAAGCAATAAAGCACTGTATTTTCTTCCCTATGATAAAAATTTGTAAAATTCTCTTACAAATATCAATTTATTTATATAAATATGTATACAAATAATAAATCTACCTTATTCTAAGAATTCAATTTAGCTAAGAAACCATACATTTTCCAAAACAAACCATAAAATACAACTTTAAAACAGTTATTGATTAAACAAACAAAAGGTGACATAAGTAATAGTTCAGAAAATATTATTTATTGTTCTTTGACACAACTAAGAAAATCTGTCACTGGTTTTTCCCAAAACCATTTCCTGATAGGAGGTCAAGACCAAAGGCATTGTAAAGCTTTCCTGGTTGAAAGCAGCAATACGCAGCTGCAGGAACAGTCCTTTGGGCACAACAATTCTGGCTTTAATAGCAGGCTTGATTTCCTGAACCTCAGCCTCCGAATACTGAATAGGTTATACTGGTAGCTTTGGTTATAGTAGATATCACAAAAGAAAAACACTCAAATACCACCAAAATGTGTCTAAATGAAACCCATCAATTGCTAATTTACTACAGTGAATATCCACTTCAAAGGCTTCTTCAAACTTAATCAGCCACATTTAAAATAAATTACGTTATCAACAATATACTTCTAGTGTAGAATATCTTACATCTAATAGATGTACAGATGTTATTTTTTAAAACCTACTAAGCGACTAATCGTTAATTGAAAAATCTTTCAGTCCACATAGACTAGTGGCCAACAGGCTCTGATTAGCTCATGCCCATCTTAATTACATGCAGGAAAGTATCCCCCATCTGCAAAAGGATTTTGCTAGAAGAATAGTGTAAGATTCTTATGGCCTACCCACTAAAGCTAGTACTGAAAACAAAGGGGAATGTGCACACACCTAACAGGAATTTCCTCAGATAAACAAAAGGCTTAAACACTGGATTCTTATCAGCAACAGCCAGCAGATCAGGAAACCTTTTGTGGGAAACTCTGGGCACCAGCTCTGAAACTAAGTCAATTCTAACATTTAAATGGAGGACAAATCACACACCAACCTAGTTTTCAAAAATAAAAGACACTAACACTTTACAGACTTAGATTTTTACTTTGAATACATAAAATATTGTATATTTTTTTTACCTATGTAATGGAAACTTGTAAGACAACAGTTTTAAAATTGTATATGGTAAGTAACTTTATTTACTGTTTTATATTTTCATAGAAAAAATATGCTAAAAGTAATAGTAAGTCCACATAGAATATATAAATTAGTCCATACTGCTTATAGTCAGTGAAAAATAAATATATTTTAGTGCCTTAGAAGAATTACCTATAAAATATTTTAAATAATTATAAAACACAAACAAAAGCTTCCTCATTTCTCTTTCTATTATTATTCTAAAATTTGGAATTAGCCAACTATCCAAAAAATGGGTGGAGAAACTACCTACAATAAAAATTAAAGCAATACGTGTATAAATGCAAAACAGATGCACATCCCCATTCTATTATTTTATCTGCCAGTTTACAGGACCTTCTATCCCTCTAGCACATTCGTAGTCAAATTTCCACTCCAATTTTGAGAAAAATGGCATCTGCTTTAAAACCATGGGATACACTCTCAAGCTGATTTATAGCTTTATTTCTTACTGACTTTCAGTCATTACTTTGGTCATTAGTTTCAGTAACTATTAATATATTCTTGAATTTTCAGTTTCAATATTCTTGATTCTGTTGCCTTTGAATATTCTGTTCCCTCTACCTGGATTCTCTTATCCCTATGGTCACCTGCTAGCGCCTGCTCATCTTTCAGGCCTTCACTTCCATTACTTCTGCTAACAAGCCTTCTCTGCCTCCAACAGAAGGTAGGGACCATGTTATGTTTTCCTATTACAGCCACTCTTTTCTCCTAACACAGTATTTCTCACAACGTAGAGAATGCCTGTTTGCCTGCCTGGCTGGCTCATCACCATACTATCCAAAACATCTGAGGCATGGCTCACGCAAAGTGCAAAATTAGTTCACCACTCCATGCCATCTCCAAAAGTGTCACAAAAAAAGGATGACAACAAAAGTCACTGAAAGAGGACAGTGATAGCACCTTCTGGGTGTCAAAGAGAGGGGCCATGATGTAGCAGACTACACTTGCCTGCAAATCAGGAGACCTGAGTTCTCATAACCCTGGTTCAAATCTAGTCATGAGCTCTGAGATGATTACTTCTCTGGATAGTAGGAACCCAGGATTCCGGGAAGATGGTGGCTGTGGCAGCATAGTTTTTGAATCTTTCCAAATCCCAACATAAAAACAGATAGGCCAACTAGATCTCAAAACCAAAAACCCACAGCCCACATATACTACAAAACTAAGGGACAAGACATCCACAAAAACCTCAAGATACAAGCAGGTGGGGACAAACCACCAAGAGCCACAAGACCTGCATGACATCACCACCTAGGTCAGAGAAAGTAAAGGGAAGCAACAGGGCGACTGATAAGTGTGAGAAGAAGAGAGCCCCAAACGGGCCAACAGGTGGTCACTGGAACGTAAACCAGGCCAATCTGAGGCCAGCAACTAAAACTGGGAAGGGTTTGCCCACTTCAATGGTGGGTGGTCCAAGGTGTCCTCAGGAAGGGGTAAAGCAGCCTATGAACTCTTGAAACTGACCCTGCAGGCTTCCCTTCCAGGACAGGCACCCACTCTGGGGAGAAACTACTGAGAGAGGAATCAGAAACTGAGCAAGGTAGGGATAATCGAGAGGAAGGGAAAAAAGGTCCAGATAGAAGCAGGGGATGGGAACAGGGCCAGGGAATCAGAGAGAGCAAGCCATCCCTTTTAGAACACATGGCATGAACACAGCAGAAAGTGAGCTCCGTGGAGGAAGAAAAGCTAGCCTGAACTAGATCTTCCTCTAAAAGGTCAGGAAAACTAATTTCACATGAAAATTAGCAACAGCAAAGTATCGAGGTCAAATCTCAAACAAAGTTATTGTAAGAAAATAAGGAACATAATGACGTTACAATGAAAGCATGCCAGAAAGACATGATCAAAGATCAGATCAAAATTTAGCCTTTTATTTCAAAATGAGCTAAAAGATGTTAATAAAATGACACAAGCTTTGAAAGGGCAATATAAATGAGAAACGAGATGCCAGGATTCAGGAAAGAATTTTTTTTTTAAATCATTTCTGAAATAAAGACTATACTAGACAGAACCCAAGAGTACATAAACTCAACAGATAATATCTTTAGAAAAACAAAAGGTGAAAAAGAGGAAAATTTTCTAAATAAAGAAATGAAGAGATAAAAAAGGTTTGAAAGAAAGTCACAAATAGTGAAGACAGGCAACAATAGGAGTCTCAGAAGAAAAACATCAGAGCAATTATTGAAAATTATAATATAGAAAAACGTCCATGAAATTAAAAGAAAAAATTTCTGAAACTAAATATTGAAGCACATTGTGTACCTGAGAATAACAACCCAGAATAACTAAAACACAGACACATTCTTGTAAAATTACTGAGCTTCATAAAAAAAGAAAAAAAAAATTGAGGGGCATCTAGGAAAAACAGCAAGTGACTTTTAAGGGGAGAAAAATTAGATTATCATCACTCTTTGGCAGCAACACTTCATGCGAGACAAAAACCTGAGAGTAACGTATTGAAGGCACTCAAGGAAAGAAAGTATAAGCCAAAGATTTTAAATCCACCAAAACTGACTTTCATGTGTAAGGAATACAACCATGCCAGACCCAGGGAATACTGTTCCCATGAGCACTTTCTGAAAAATCTCCTAAAGCATGAGCTTCAGACAACTAAAATGAATAGAGCAGGGCAACATAAGGACTGTGATTTTACACATGCAGTTGCTTGTAAAACTGAGACTGAATGCAAGCCAGAGGGGAAAGAGTGTCTGTAGTGGCTGAATGCTCAGACGGTGTAGATACGATACAACTATTTTTAAAAGGTGGAAGAATGGGGAGAATGTACACAAAAAAATTCTTTTTAACTGCTTTAGTAATTATTTGGTAGTGTAGTCCTGAATTTGAATAGGAAGTATCAGTATGACCTCGTGAGCCACTTATATTTAAACAAACCAAAAAATCCTAGCTGTTTGCACTGAAAAGGCCTAGAAATAAAGATCAATGCAGCAGAGATACAGATTCCTAGCAGGTAGATTGTGGTTCTGAAATACCATTTCCTAGCACAAGAAATCAAAGCTTCTCAGATAATGGTTGATTCCAGATCTTGGGCAAGAAATGTACAAGATGGTCCTGGAACTTTTGTCACACCAGATAGTGAAGAAGCTATCAAAGTCCACCAGGTCACATCAAAAGCACTCAGGAGCCAACTTGAAGAGACTCCCAGTGGCCAAAGATGGGACAATTTGAGCTTTAAATAGGATAACTGCAATTGATTGAAACCCATCAAATGTGTTAAAATTTATAAATTCATAAAAATATGAAAAAAACCTAATTAGTCACCTTTGGGGGATGATAAGGAACCAATTTATTACCCTGATGATAAAGGAAAAAGCACTTATCCTGGCTTCCCTATATGAACTATATCACTGAGTAGCCACATAGTAGATGAAGGGAAGCATCTCTTTAAAAAGTATTCTAATAAATGAAAAATAAATCACAGAATATAACCATTTGCAACCACCAATGAACCGACAGATCTATGCACTGAACACTAACAGCCGCTAACATCATAAAAAAAGACATGATGTGCCTCCTGATCAAAGAATACAGCATCACTTCTAGTCTTACCAAAGGGATCAAACGTGAGTCTGATCACACCTCTGGATCCAGCTGCCAATTTGCAGGAAATTCATAGAGCTGAGGAACACGTACAATGTTATCATAAATATATAATCAGCAAAACCTAGACCACGGGCACTTGATAGGTCAAATACCCTTGGTTTCTCAACAATAATCTGTCTTTTCAATTAGTGGGCCCAGAACAGGGATTATGATGGTTCATTTTATGTGTCAACTTGACTAGCTCATGGGGTGCCCAGGTCTTGATCAAACCTTATTCTGAGTGTGTCTGTGAGGGTGTTTCTGCATGAATTGCATTTGAACTGGCAGACTGAGTAAAGTAGACTGCCCTCCTCTATGTGGGTGGGCCTCATTCAGCCCACTGAGGGCCTGAAGGAATAAAATGTTGGAGGAAGGGAGAACAGCTTCTCTACCTGACTGCTTTGAGCTGAGACATCAATCTTATCCTACCTTTGGACTAGGACTTAACACCATCAGCACTCCTGGTTCTCAGGCCTCCAGACTCAGATTAGAATTTATATCACCAGCTTTCCTGGGTCACCAGCTTGCAGATGGCAGATTGTGGGACTTCTCAGCCTCCACTACGACATGAGCCAACTCCTTATACTAAATCCCATTGTGTACATAGAGAGAGGGATATAAACATAGGGATATACCTTCATCTATGTATATATATAGAGAGAGAGATGTAGTTATCCATATCTATATATCTCCTACTGGTTCTGTTTCTCTGGAGAACCTTGACTAATATAGCTATTCAATAACTATTTGCAGTTTAGACTTTATTTGATTGATTAGATCTTTGAAATTCTATGAACAGCAATAATCAACAGAATTTTACTTACAAACTATCATAAAAACTAAAGAACTACTTCATACTACCATTTTATAAAAATCCAAGACCATTTTTATATAAACATGGAAAAACGAAGGATGTGTTTAGATGTATTAACTAATTGCAGAATCTAATGCATAACTGGTTTTCTTAACTAGAGTTCTTTCCCCTTCACTTGAATTTCCTCATATATGGTGAAGTTTCAGAAACACTGTAATGTACATGCTCAGGGTCATTCTCCTGTGGAAGTGATAGGCTAGTTTGAGCCATTCTTAACTATCTCTCTATCTGGTCCCTGAGTGGTCAGTCATCAGCATAAAATTTTATGGTGTCTGGCCAGGGTTAAGGGCCACAGAACAGCATTTTTCCCTCAACTAAGTTAATCAAACGTCCAGAATAATTATACAGAGGACCTTGAACTCATTAGGAGTATTCTCCAATCAATTCCATCTAGACTTTAAAATTTACAGACAACAATCATGATGTTTTCTAATATCACAGAAAACAAATTTGTGTCTCTTTTTTATTCCTCTTTGGAAAAGGTTTTTAAAACACGTTTTGGCTAAATTATGCCAATCTGAAATAGATCTGTTAAATGGAATAAGAGACCGTCTGGCTTCAGGCAAACTAAATATATTTCAATATACAAAATGGAATTAGTCAAAGCTGTATTCAAAAGAATAAATACAAATGGCTGAAAAAGACAGCTGAATGGAACTTGTGTGGTACCTCAGAAATGTTTTTGTCGGTTTCTTTTCTTTTTTCTTCCAGTTTCCTTTCAATACCTACAATTCCTACAGCTCTTATTCTTCCTGGCTGAAAAACAAAAGCAGAAAATAAAACATACAAAATAGGAAGGATACAATCTTTTATAACCCACCAGTTGTGTTTTCAATGGTGGGAAAGGACCCACAAAGAACCAAAGAAAAACAGCATACAATTACATTCAGTTTCCTTTCAAAACATTTGTCAGTTTCTTGCCATACATAATGATCTCCAAATTATTATATGGAATAACTGAACATAAAATAAATGGCATATTTTACTGTGTATTTTAGATATAAATTAAATTTCCTATTCCTTTTTGTTCTTTGGCAAGCTGTTATGTATGCATCAGACCTTTAATAGGGTCTCAAATGTGCAAAAAATGGTAGTTTAAAAGTTGGCACTTGACAGTTAATCAAACAAGCTACTTTTACACATTTGAATGTCTGTCTACAGTTGGTGGTTAATTTAGACTGGCCTGGAAACATCACCCAGTGGTACTGTCTGTTCTCTCAGATGGCACAAATGATTAGGAAGAACAGAATGCAGTGAGTGGAATCTAACCTCTACCACCCCAAGAATCACTCTAATAAGTAGTCATTTATTTTTACTACGTGTTTACTGTCTATAGAGCACTAAATTAGGTTCTGCGAAAATAAATTTTTAATCAGAATTTCATCATTTTGTTCCTGGCAAGTTCTATAATCATAGAAATCTTTTCCCTTAATGAAGATGCAAGTAAAATGCTGAAAATACTGAATTAAGAAACAATTTAAAAAATACCTGGGGTCCTCTATTTGTTTGTAATGACTGGGAAACCGGCATATTCTCCCATCTTCTCTGTGTCATTTCCTCTGACAAACGCCTGTAAAACTGTTATGCACATACATACACTTTAAATGAGTCAGTCAGGCTGTGGCACCCTCATACAAATCATTACTTAACATTTCTTTAGTTGAAAGGTCTGTTCAGTCACTTCCAACAAGCCTAGAATTCTCAGAGACATCAAAGGAAATCAAAGGAAGTTCTTTTCTTGGATCAACTTCAGAAAGCACAAAGGAATAAAAAAAATGAACTGACCTTCTATAGAATGTGAGCAATTCTCAACAAAGAGATGAGTGACAATGAAATAAATAGACTTACTTTAAACAATCCTGCATATGTGGATTGTTTTCAATCTATAGGAAAACAGACACAGTGCCAAGAAAAATATACAACCATTATCCACGAAGGAAGCAGAGAATAATTTGTCTAGTTAAAATGTGAAGCCAGAACTTAGGGCCAAAACATGCCTATGCTCACAAAAAAATCAATGATATTTTTCTCCAACAGCGAGAATGACTTCAGTTAGTCACTTATACTTGCTTAGTGCCTACTGTGTGAGGAGCACTAGGTGAGGTGCTATAGAAAAAAGAACATAAGTAATTTATGATATCAATGACGAGATAAATACACACTAGCAAATGTCTAAAGAATACTTATACAGCAACTTATTAATCAGGACGTAGAACCTATTATACTATGGAATAAGTACTGAAGTGATTAGAACTGTATGGAGTTAATCAAGATAGACCGCCTGATTTAAGGCTGGTGAGCTTTCAGATATTGAGGTAGTTTAACATTTCACTGCATTATACTCTGTCCTTTAATCAAACTATACCACTAAAAACTTTACTAGTAGTCTAATGGCATGACTTCGCATATTTCCAACCTCTGCTCTTTCCTTGTGACCACACCCTCCTGCTTCCTGTTCCCACTGAAACCTAAACTTCATATTCTCCACTGATAAGGCTTAAGATATAATAAAAATTTTATTGTAAAAATATGGTGAAACCTGGTGTGTTGTACAATATTGCCCTCCATCATAATAACAAACAACAACGAAAATACATACAAGCACACATTTCTAGTCCAACTTTATTCATATAGAAACTTACCTCAATCTGGCCATGTTCTTTGAAAGAGAGTTTGATGTAGGAGTTCTTACTACTCTGGAATGGACCAGGTTCTTTGTTCAGAGGAGCTGGATGAAGATGAACCACTATTTTGGCACTAAAGAAAGAATGAATATAATGTATTTAATTGTATTTTAAAAATCACTAATTCTATTTTCATAACTTTTAATATATTCCAGATCACTTTTAAAGTTCAGGTAGAAACAAAGAACATCCTAAAAGGAATCCTTTTAAAGTTGGTATTCATTCAGTATTAATAAACTTTTCAGAAATATCTCTACTTAAAACTTACAAGCTATGAACCAAAAAGTTCAAGTTACTAGCTCTATAGATTAATAAAAATGTGGTTTTAGGAAATAAGTTCAAAATAAATTTGCAAAACTTGGGGTGGTTTATGATTTTGGTTTATGATTAGTGATTTCCATCCACAGAGTCATCCCCAGAGGTTAGCAGGGGGCCTATCATCTCTGCCAAAGCATACTACTTTACTCATTTGAAAACAAAATGTGAAAACTTATCTGGGTAAAACCGGCCAGCTGACATTTTATTAAAACTCCATCCAAAACTAACACTCTACAGTGTCACTTATGGAAAATGCCACTCAATCAACAGCATGATCTAGAAAGATATCCAATAGCAAAAACAATTCTCAAAACACTGCTGCTCTAGGAAGACAAACTACCATAATCTTTATGACTACCATTATCTCCTATTCTATTAAAAATATCATTATATTTGTTCAGTTTTACAAGTCTTTCTTCCCAGCCTGCTCAATAAACAATCTTCTACAAAGATTAGCAAAACCACAAAGCTCAGTCAAATACCTTGGATACTTAGCTTAGAGCTTTTTCTTTATGACCACGTTATAGATTCACCTATTACTCAATTTTATTTTGTTATGGTTACCTAAATATCACTGTACAATTGAAACACCATGCGTGGGGTCTCCTTAATGTAACAGACGCTTTGGTTAGTGACCTGGGGCCTATTCCTTCATCGCTTCCTTTGTGGTGAATATCTTTTATTTTTGGTGAGGAAGATTAGCCCTGGGCTAACATCCGTGCCCATCTTCCTCTACTTTATATGTGGGACGCCGCCACAGCATAGTTTGATAAGCGGTGTGTAGGTCTGCACCCAGGACCCGAACCCATGAACCCCAGGCCGCCAAAGTGGAACATGCGAACTTAACCACTCTGCCACCAGGCCGGCTCCTGTGCTGAACACCTTTAAGTGGAGTGAGTAAACAAACCGTGCAAGCAGAATCACAGGACTCTTTGAAATGCACTGTCAAGTACAGCAACAAAACTATGACAATTAGGATAAAGTGACTGAGCAAAAGCATTACACAATCTTTAAAACTATCAGATTTTGTCAAAGAATTTTGAGCCCTACTATCAGATTTCATCAAAGGAAACCCAAAGGAAAGCTAAAAGATTATGCTATAAAGTGAAGTTTAAAAATCCCCAAGTCAGCATAAAAGAGCCAGGCCAATTTTTTCATATATTCATTTCTTGGGTCATTCAATTACCATACTTCATCAAGTTTAAAATCTTCCAAATCAAAGAAGTATCTTGGGTTCAGAGATGTTAAAAGGTGAAAATATATATATACCTTTGAATCAACGAGATACAGAAATTGTTTTGAGGGGAGGAACTAAAGAGAATATTTGAGGAAAGTTAACCTGGCCATATTATTGAATTTCTCCTCATTGGAGAAATAAAAATAAGACACTAATCTGAAGGTAAATATTCTAAATATTTTTGTTATAGAGTTTATATTTCCTTAGAATACAACACAGAAAAATTCAGATGATCTAGAACACCCTTAGTTTTTTTTTTTTTTAATTCTTTTTTTTTTATAATTATTTATTTATTTATTTCCCCCCCGCAAAGCCCCAGTAGATAGTTGTACGTCATAGCCGCACATCCTTCTAGCTGCTGTATGTGGGACACGGCCTCAGCATGGCCGGAGAAGCGGTGCGTCGGTGCGCACCCGGGATCCGAACCTGGGCCGCCAGCAGCGGAGCGCGTGCACTTAACCGCTAAGCCATGGGGCCGGCCCTAGAACACCCTTAGTTTTACTTTCAGAACTTAATAAGAAAAGCAATATATACAAATATCGAATCATTATGTTGCACACTTGAAACAAATATAATGCTGCATGTCAATTATGCCTCAATTTAAAAAAAGAAACTTAAGAAGATGGAGAAAAGTAACAAGGGGGAAACTATAAATTAGAGAAATAGCCTACTCTAAGAATCTATGCCTTATTAATCTTTCCAAAATGTTGGTTAGTTTCTTTTACGTCAACAGGGAATCTTTTATGCTAGCTATAGCATTATAATTAAGGCATGCACTGCATTTCCAGTGAAGTTCAACATTTGTTTAACCTAACGCAACTAAAGCTAAAGATGAGCTTAGAAAAAATTTTCCTTATCAGCAATATTTGTTCATAAATTGCCCTCAATTACATGCACTTAAAATATGAAGCCAGAATTTTTGATATACTTGAATAAACAGAAACATTTTAACCTGTGGCTTTAAACCAGGGGGACCACATCTCCTGAGCTGCCTGGGATAGAACCATTTTATGCTTGCCCTGGTCTAATTGTAAACAGCTCCCACTATTACTCTTATAAATGTACCAGTTTAGACAATAACTATTATGATACTCTAACACTGATATCGGAAAAAGTCCAAGTTGAGAAACTTAATGATCAACTAGAAATAGGAGCAAAGTCAGTTATTTTCCTCAGATGAATCATTTCTGATTTTAAGTACTCAATGATAGATAGACATGTAAAACCACGTCTGTGGAAATATATATAACAACAGCTGGCCCACATTTATTTATTATCACCCAAGGATATTATAGCAAACCTTAGTACTTGATTCATGCTTTAAGAACGACTTCCAGGGGCTGGCCCGGTGGCGCAGCAGTTAAGTGTCTGCCCTCTGCTTCGTTGGCCCAGGGTTCGCACCAACACACCATCTGTCAAGCCATGCTGTGGCAGCGTCCCATATAAAGTAGAGGAAGATGGGCATGGATGTTAGCCCAGGGCCAATCTTCCTCAGCAAAAAAGAGGAGGACTGGCATCGGATGTTAGCTCAGGGCTAATCTCTCTCACAAAAAAAAAAAAAAAGAATGACTTCCATTCATCAATGAGTTGAATGTAGGAAAATACGTCTAAGGGGAACTCCTGACACACAACTGTTATTTATAAAGCCCCAAAACACAACCCTTAGATTCACTCCCTCATGTGCAGTCGTGGCACAGCAATAGAGCAACTAAGTTAGCAATAATAGCTTGACTGGAAACATCTTTTGTGAATAAAGCCTGTAATATATAGACCTTACCTTTTCCCAATTCCAGCTGCCTGTTCTTCAATAAATACAATTTGGGAAAGAGGAATGGCCATGCAGCATTCCTAGGAGGAAATCAATAGAAAACATGATTCATAAGACTCATCAGAAATCCTTGTTTTATAGCATTTAATACAGTGCCATATACCTTTAAGGTACTTAATAATAAAAACAAAAAATAATGTTATTTTATTCCTTAAATAAACAATGAAAAACTGTATGAAAACAATACTGTGGTGTCATTTTGCTGCATGAAAGAACATACAGGTTTTTTTTTTTTTTTTTTTTTT